ACAAGAGGAGGCATATGACAATCCAGAGAGACTTGCTCCAAACAGAAAAGGGAGACAGACCCAACAAAAAGAGGGATGTAATGAGATAGGGAGGGGTACTGAAGAAACTGGAGAAGGAGGAGAAGTCTAGACAAGTGACAAAAGAGGAGAAAGGAAGAAGAGTTCCATAGAAGAGTTGGGTCTTTTGTCTCTTTTTGGTCCTTAACTTTAAATGGAGTGACATAACGCAACATTGTCTGATGGATACCCATTACAACTCTTGCACAGGAAACATGGAAACCTCATATCCCTTGGACCTCAGTATCCGAAAAAGTATGGATATGTTTGGTGTAGCTCCAAGGAGCCCTCATAAAATGTGGTCAGCGAGAGATATAAAAGGCTCACAGCCATTCAAGATGAACAACCTGGAGGGGGTGACCCAGTCTACCGAGGGACAAAATGGTTCATCTGAGGAACCAGGACATTGCAAGGACCAAACCTGCCTTCCCCTCAGAAAAAGAAGGTACCCACCTCCATCCAAGGATGAAAGACCATTGACGACGCACATGGAAGATTATCCAAGTTGGCCAAAGAAATTGTGTGGCTCATCAAAAATTCAAGTACCACTGCCATGCTACTACTCAGGTAATTGCTCTAAACTAATAATTAGAATATATTTTGGTTTTGTTTGCAAGAAATGAAGGTACTGGAAGTTGTAGACACCGTAGAATTTATGCAAAAATCATAAACAGCTACTAGCACAAATTGCCCTTAATGTTTTGAACTAATCTTCCAGAAAACTCTTTCAGTGGGTATGAGTAGACAATAATAAAATGAAATAGCAAAGTGTCTGGTTTCAAATGGGTCAGTGAGTTCACATCTGAGGTGACAAAAAAGCTGGAGGCAAGGCAGTCATGCAATAATTTTTCCATCTACTAATACCCAAGGAGACATTATCTATTTAACATCTAGTGTGCATTCTCTATTCAGTATGTAGTACACATTCCCTATTGAGTTTGTAGACCCCGTCTACTCGACATGAAATGAAACCTATATTTACAACAGGCACTTTTCACTATCATTCTCAAAATTAGCTTTAAATGGCATGCTTTGCATTTAATACACAGTGCTTAAATATATTGTTTACAACATGCATTTTAAGTATTTTTATTTATTTTAAACCAAAGAGCTTAAAATTTTAGTTAATTTTTCATTTTGTTTTTAATTATCGAAAGCACACTGCTTTATTGGTGCAGGGTAGATCTTGAGGAGGTAGGCTCAGCTAACATTTGGCTGGAGAAGTGACCCAACACCTCCCAGGTCATTGACTTTCTTTCAGCAGCAGCAGTTAACACCCTGGTAAAATAAAACATTTTGCACTAATTACAGATCCTGACTGAGGATTAGCAGAAGCAGTGTTTTGTGAACACATTAAAACTATTACTACTCCTTAACGACAAAAAGTTTTTAACATGCTGAAAGGCAATTTTTTTCATGCAACCCGAATGGTTACAGGTTCCAACTGTGCAAAAATATCTGCATCATAGTTTTATTAACAATGAACAGGTACATGTGTGCTTGTATGTTTTTTAGTTTCTTAGTCCTTATCTCTTCAGAAACAGCGACAGCATTGGGAACCCAGATAGAGATCTCTATAATATCAACAAGTCTCTAACTGTAGTTTTACTTTGCTGCACAGATTAATTTTTCCATCATTCCTACTAATCTAGTGTCAATCAGAGAGCAACAAATAGGTGAACGTACGTATGTGATTGCTGTCAGAGTGACTGGTAGCACTTTGTCTACGTCTGCAACTTTTGACCAACGATAGTGTTGTTTAAGGCAAAAGAAAGGGTTCTTTACAATAAGAACATAGATGTGGAATTATCTGCCTGAAAAGGGTGGTTTTATCATACTTTGTACAGCTTTTTAGACAGCGACTGGATGAATGCTTGCAAAAGTGTAATATTCAGGGGCATAATATTTAATATGTGGGTTCACAACTTCTTGATTCAAGGAAAGATCTGAGAGATCTGGGGTCAAGGAGGATTATTTTCCTACTTTGTTGCTAAACTGGAAAAAGCTTCAAACTCGGTTCTTTGCCTTCTTTTGGATCAACAGCAGAAACAGAAGTGAGAAAGGCAGAACTTTTTTTTCAGCCTATGTAACTATGATTAACATTTGATATCGGTGCATTAGCATAACTTGCCTGATATGACCTGTCCTTTAAAAACCTGACGACTTGTATCAATTTAATTTGTAATAAATACTAACAATGACCAATGACAATTTTGATGTCCTCACAGAGCTCTTCACTTGGCACATACCAAATAAATAAATAAATATATATATATATATATATATATATATATTAAGTGATATAGTTTCTGTCTCTTTTTACAAGTAAACTTCATTTGTAATGGTTATCTGTGTGCCATACTTCAGTAGGTGTTCATCAAATGTTCCTCTGATAACGTGCAGATATCCTAGCGTCTTATGGATGGATGGGCCATCCCTCAATCTAAGATATACAGTTAATTAAGATGGGACACCAATAAATGGAGACAGAAACAACAGCATGAAAGGAACGCTATACAAAAGCAACCTTTCCTAAAACACCAGCACTGAAAAAAGGAGGGGGATACCAAAAAAATGAGAAGGGAGGAAAGTTAACAATTGTAAACTTAAAAATGTGTTGTTTATCCTTTTTTAGAAGTCAGTTTGATTATTATTTATCATTCGTGTTGTGATTAAACCACACAGGATACACCTTTATGCTTTCAAAACCATAAATTTGAATGTGTGGGTGGTTTGTGAAGATCAGAATTGCTGAACGAAGGAGGGATCTTAATGAATTCAATCAACTTTTTTAGGATTTACTTGAGTTTGGTTTCAGCACCTTAATATATGTGTGTTGGATGTGAAAGGGAGAGAGAATTTGTTACAGAGACCTTCAGATGTATTTAAAGAATAAATAAACTTCAAAGGGAAGGACTTTGATGGAAATAAATTCAATAGAGCAAGAAGGTAAACTGGTCAGTTCTGAGGATGAAAGACAGATGACAAATTTAAGAATTTTTGTTTTAAATGAAGTAGATACTTTGAATAGCATTCCAGCAAAACCAGTAAACTATTGCCTATTAAAGGCACCAGAGATTATCTTAAATGTTCATAAGGCTATCCATAAAAAAACAAACAACAACTATAATCAACATAAAAGCTCACAATCGGAAGAGAGGCTTGTTATTGGTTACCACCAGTGGTTTCCAAACCAGTCCTCGACACACAACTACCAGTTCAGAATTGATGGATTACATAGTTGTGTCTAAGGTTTTTTTTTTGTTCTAACATCACCTTAGTCACAACTGGGTAATCCCTAAATCCTGGACTGATAGGTGTGCCTTGAGGACTAGTTTGGGAACCACTGGGTTACCACCATCCACCAGTTTTTGGTTTTTTTCAAAGATCAAGTATAATGCTACTATCTCACAACCTTCTAAATGGCCAGAAGAAAACACTAGTTGACATGCTTTATATTAAAAATGGTTGCACTGATTGAAAAGGTGCCACCACAAAGTTCACTGTGCTGGAGTTTTTGATGTGAAGCAGTGCTGGCATCAGAAATGTCTGTTAATATAGTTAGCAACATTAGGAGGTATGAAATAAGGGCGGAATGGGGTGACACCAAAGTTTAGGCTAAAATTAGCTGTCATTGTAGCTGATTGCAGATTCTTTATTTAATTTTTTTTAAATCAGCTTTCATTTTTGCACTCCAGTTTACAATTTGGGGCTGGATCTCTAGGAGTTTACTATGCTTACTGAATAGCAATTTCAGTAAGTTTTTTATTCAACTTTGAATTTATATAATAATGTAAATTGCACAGTTTTAATGAATGTATTTGAGAAACCTAAGCCATAGTGGAAAAACACATTCAGTGGTCACTTAAGAGTAAATTCAAGTTTTGCATTAAAGGGACACTATAGTCACCTGAACAACTTAAGCTTAATGAAGCAGTTTATGTGTATAGAACATGCCCCTGCAGCCTCACTGCTCAATTCTCTGCAATTTAGGAGTTAAATCCCTTTGTTTATGAACCCTAGTCACACCTCCCTGCATGTGACTTGCACAGCCTTCCTTAAACACTTCCTGTAAAGAGAGCCCTATTTAGGCTTTCTTTATTGCAAGTTCAGTTTAATTAAGATTTTCTTATCCTCTGCTATGTTAATAGCTTGCCAGACCCTGCAAGAGCCCCCTGTATGTGATTAAAGTTCAATTTAGAAATTGAGATACAATTATTTCAGGTAAATTACATCTGTTTGAAAGTGAAACCAGTTTTTTTTTTTCATGCAGGCTCTGTCAATCATAGCCAGGGGAGGTGTGGCTAGGGCTGCATAAACAGAAACAAAGTGATTTAACTCCTAAATGACAGTGAATTGAGCAGTGAAATTGCAGGGGAATGGTCTATCCACTAAAACTGCTTTATTTAGCTAAAGTAATTTAGGTGACTATAGTGTTCCTTTAAATATTAATCCACGCATAAATGGCTATCCACAAGCCATCAATGTTGTTAGAGTTCCACCACAGAGTTATTTTTCAATGCCACTTTGATTCTTGAACTGGTAAAAACAGACGACATGATCTTGCAGACAAAAAGTTGTCAACACAATAACAGAACCACTGGACACCCAGTGTATTAAAACAACTGAACAAATTAATAGCAATGTCAGTTAATACATTTAGTTATCAGTTAGTGTTATATAACAAAAATGAGAACAAAAAAATCAAATACCTTACTTGACTTGCTTAAAGTCACCAGAACAACTACAGCTTATTGAATTTGTTCTGGTGAGTAGACTCATTACCTTCAGGCATTTTGCTGTAAACACTGTCTTTTCAGAGAAAATGCAGTGTTTACATTACAGCCTAGTGATAACTTCACTTGCCACTCCTCAGATAGCTGTTAGAGATCCTTCCTGTGTCATGGCTGCCTAAAATGCATCCAAACACTCAGTGTCTCCTCCCTCTGCATGCAGACACTGAACTTTCCTCATAGAGATTCATTGATTCAATTCATCTCTATGAGGAGATGCTGATTGGCCAAGGCTGTGTTTGAATTGTGCTGGCTCTGCCCCTGATCTGCCTCTTTGTCAATCTATGGGGAAGCATTGTGATTCAATCAGGCTACCACTTCTGCTGATGTCACCAGGCAGTGGGCAGGTCTAAAGGAACTAAGTAAGCAGGCACTAAGTAAGCAGCTGCAGACCTGAATACAAGTAAGATTTTACTATATTTAGGGAGGCATGATGGGACCAGGGTGGCTAGATGGTGGTTTTAACCCTATAGGGTCAGGAATACATGTTTGTGTTCCTGACTCTATAGTGCTCCTTTAAGTATGCAAGCAATGTTAACTAGCGTTTCAGCATCAATCAGTTATTAGACCCATTAAAGAACAAACAAAGTAACTATAGTATACAATAGCAACATTTATAACATAACAATTGCATATCTGCACAGTACCTGAAATGACAGTTGAAAGGTATTAAAAAAACAAACACACATACCTTCCAATATTGGCATCCCAAGAAGCAGGACGCCGATGGAAGGGGTTTAAAGGGGACAGGACAGTGACACAATTGTGGGTCAATCCAGGTGGGTAAGTCCAACCGGTATTGGTGTACTATTATGTAGTGGTGGGCTTCAAACAATATGGCCATCTGTTGTAACTGAATCTCCATATTTGTTTGCTAAGATATGTGATTTTTAGGTAGCCTAAAAAAATGTAAAACTTTATTTATATTTTTTTGTCGGTGCACTGTTCTTTCATCTGTATTTTTCCAAACAAACAGTTCAGGCCACCAAGGGCAGGACTTGCAAGAAGCACTGTTTCAGTGCTCGCTGCAGGGTCATGGTGTACTGATTGCATCGTAAGGGTGTCTTATGATGTACTTCTGCTATACTTTTTTAAGGACAGTTCCCTGGTGTCCCCAAAAGCTGAACACCAGGGAATAAAGTCGGACAATGGGACAGGACCCAAAAAGCAGGACTGTTCCAATGTAATTGTGTTTGTTGGGAGACACGCGCACACACACACACATACACACACATTGCCATGTCTGTATGTTAATGACATACCTCACCTACTTGCATCATCAATGCACCTGGCTTACTGTAACATTCAACTTGTGATCAAACTGAAGAGCAAAAGTACAAGTATTTTTTATTGCTAACTTACCAATAACGGCTTATCAAGCTCAACATCACAAGATTAACAATAAAAATACATATTAAGCCCAGTTTCAAGACAATAAAATGTTATGGCTATGGCAGCATTAATGGCAATTGTCCAAGCAATGTGGTTCACCTTGATAACTTTAAAACTGTTATGTAATTACAGCCAAAAATACAACAATATTAATTGCTTACAGACACCATGTTGTAATGTAATAATTTATTATGTTTACCTGTACACCTACTTTTTATAAGAGATATCTAAGCAGCCAAACACATGGCAGTAACGCCATGCCTAATATCATGCAGATATGATATATAATGTTCATTTTTCATTAAAAACAAAATATCAGAATTGGGAAAAAAATGTGGTCTAAGTGACTTTGACAGTGGAACGATTGCTGTTGCTAAGCATGGAGGTTTGAGCATCAGAAATTGCTGATCTCCAGGAATTTTTATACATTAGTGTCTTAGAAGGTTGGAGAGAATACTGCAAAAAAAATTAAACAACCCAAAAACATCTGAAGAGCAGCAGTTGTATGGGCAAAATTGATTTGTTAATGAGAAAGGTCAGAAGAGAATGGTAGACTGGTTCATGCAAACAGGAAGTTGATAGCAACTAAAATCACCATGGGTTACAGCACGGCTATTCAGAAGAACATCTCTGAACACAAAATATAAAACTCAAAGTGGATGGGCTGCAGCAGCAGAACACCACACCATTTAGTTAAGAATAGGTAAATGAATACAGCAGGAACTGGTGCACCAAAACTGGACTGTAGAAGATTGGAAAAACGTCTCCTGGTCTGATATATATTAATTTCACCAGCAGAAAGCAGATGCCATGTTTATGCAGAATTGGGGTATATATGTAATTCATGACTCAGTCATGGCTTGCGTCAATGTATGAGGCTTGTTCCAATAGAAAATATTGTTTGGAATAATTTCATGGCACACCTTAGACGCATTATTGCCAACTGACTGTCTTTAAAATGACTAAGGCTATATTAATATTATTGCTGAATGTGTGCCCTTTGCAGCCACAGTTCACCCATCTTCTAATGGTTACGACCAGCAGTAAAACAAGCACTGTCACCTCAAAGCTGTTTCCACGAATAGGACAATGAGCTTAATGTGTTCCTATGGCCTTCACAGTCACCAGGTCTTAGTCCAATAGAACACCTTTTGATGTAAGAAAAAAGGGAGACTGACGGAGATTCAATTAGCATAATCTTTGAAGAAAATGTCTAGCACCTTGAATCCATGTACAGACAAATTATGGAGTCTTATTAAAAGATGTGAACATTGAACATAAATTAATTGGCTAGGTTACCTAGGTTTCAAGTACTTATCAGCAAAAATCAGCATGGTTTTATGAAGCAGAGGTCATGACAAACTAACTTGATTGCATTCTACATAGAAATAAGAAGAAGTGTAGATTACGGTGTTGCAGTGGATGTGATCTATTTGGATTTTGTCAAGGCGTTTGATACAGTTCCACGCAATAGATTAGTGTTCAAACTCAAAGAAATTGTCTAGATGAAAATTCTTGTTCTTGGGAAGAACATTGGCCTAAAAACAGAGTACAGAGAGTTGTCATTAATTGTACATTTTCAAGCTGGACATAGGTGGCAAGTGGTGACCCTCAGCGTTCTGTTCTAGAACCCCTTCTATTTAACATGTTTATAAATTCCTCTTGAAAAAAAGTGGCCAGTCGGTATTGTCATGCATGAAAAAAGGCGTTAATTCTCGGAATGAAAATATAATTTTGCCTCTTTATAAATCACTGGTAAGACCACATCTTGAATATGCTGTGCAATTCTAGGCACCTGTTCTAAAGAAGGATGTTATAGCACTAGAAAGAGTGCAGAGGCGGGCTACAAAATTAATCAAAGGAATGGAACATTTTCGCTATGAAGAAAGGTTAACAAATGTATACCTCTTTAGTTTAGAAAAATGTTGCCTGAGAGGGGATATGATAACATTATACAAATTTATCCTGGGCCAATACAAACCATTGTGTGGAAATCTATTCACAAACAGGACTTTACATAGGATAGGAGTTCATGTGTTTAGACTGGAAGAAAGAAGATTTAGTCTAAGGCAAAGTTATTTTACCGTAAGAACAATAATGATATGGAATTATTTGCCCGAAGAAGTGGTTTTATGAGAGTCCGTATGAATGTTTAAACAGCAACTAGATGCACACTTACAAAAAACATAATATTCGATGATATAATTTTTCAACTGTCGGGTAATAGCTTCTTGATCCAAGGATAAATCTGACTGCCATTCTGTCACGGTAGTTTACCCCTACACGCAAGATTTAGTCCAACAATCGACAGATAGAGCAGATACAACTTACCGGACCTTAGAATGGCCGGATTCGCCGTATAGCAGAGAATAGACAGAGTCAAGAACAAGCCGAGATCAAGGGAACAAAGAGACTGTGAGAACAAAAACTAGCCATGGTCTGGTACACAGTAGTCAATAACCCGGCAAACAAGACAAAACAGGGATAGAGAGATAAACGGAGTCAGATACAAAGCCAAGGTCAAGCACTAAAATCACAACTGAACACAACAAGCGCTAAAGGGAACTGAAACAGAAACCACAATAGGGCAGGGAGTCAAGGGAGAGGTAAGTATATATACCCTAAACTTTACTTTGATTGGCCCCTGTCATATCCACGCTCCCAAAATGTGAGTGTCTGGGGAATGTGGGATGACAGGGGCCAATGGGAGTACATTTCATTTTTTGGCTCCCAGTGCCCCTTTAAGAGCGTGCCCGCTCCCAGTATGTAAATCTGTTGAATATATTAATATGTCGTCCAAGTACTCTATTACAAATGAGTGAATGAACTCTCGTAAGACATCATTAATAAATTCTTGAAACACTGCTGGGGCGTTACAAAGACCGAATGGCATCACAGTATACTCGTAATGACCACTCCTAGTATTGAATGCAGTTTTCCACTCATGGTCCTTTTTTATACGTATGAGATTGTATGCACCTCTAAGGTCCAATTTAGTAAACACAGTAGCTTGTCGAATAATTCCGTGATTAATGGTATAGGGTAAGCATTTTTTATAGTGATTTTATTTAGGCCCCTATAATCAATACAAGGTCTTAAATAGCCCTCCTTCTTTCGACACAAAGAAGAACCCTGCCCCTGCCGGAGAAGAGGATCTCCTTATAAATCCCTTTTGTAGAGATTCTTTAATATATTCCTCCATGACACGATTTTCTTGCGGAGACAAAGGATACACCCTGCCTTTAGGAGGTATAGTGCCAGGCAATATATCAATAGCACAATCGTAGGGTCTATGAGGTGGTAATTTTTCAGCCTCCCTTTTATCGAAGACAGATTTAAGACACATGTACTGAGGAGGTATAACAGTAGACAAAGGAGGAGTAGTAGGAACATTAATGGAATTCAAAGGGGTGATTTTAATTATACAAGACTCTTGGCAGGTTTCACTCCAAGATACTATTTGTCCTGATTCCCAGTCAAAATTGGGATTGTGAGAACGTAACCATGGGTACCCTAACACAATGTGAGAGGAAGGAGAGGTGATGACCTGAAACCGAATGGTTTCTGAGTGTAACATCCCTGTATACATATGCAACGGTTCAGTTTCATGTGTGATAACTGGGGAGCATAATGGTCTACCATCTATGGCCTCAACGGCCATGAGTGTCTTCGTCTCTCTAATGGGTATTTTGTTTCTCCTAACAAATCTAGAGTCTATGAAATTCTCAGCTGCGCCGGAATCAACCAGGGCTAGTATGTTTCTTGATATGCAATTATTCTCCAGATACAGAGAAACAGGGAGAAGTAGTCGATTAAGAGGCAATTTTGGGGACTTAGATATCACACCCAAGGCCAGTCCCCTATATGGCCTTAGGTGCGATAGTTTTCCAGAAGCACGGGACATTCTTTTAGCATATGACCCTTCTTACCACAGTACAGGCAAAGTCCCTCCTTTCTCCTATACAACTTTTCAGCATCAGAGAGTTTGGGAACCCCTCTGATACCTTGAAACTCTCAGGATTAGCAACTCTAGGAGTATTTAATGTAACAAAACGTCTATTCCTATTCTTAGTATAGAGTCTGTCATGAATCCTATTGTCTATATCAATGAGATAGTCGATAAGGTCCTCTAATGGGATAGGAAGATCCCTAGCTGCTACCTCATCCAATATAGTATCAGATAGTCCTTCCATGAATGCTGTAGTTAGCCCATTGTTGGTCCAATCTACCTGCGAAGCAAGGGCACGAAACTGAATAGCATAATCAGCAACAAACCTAGAACCCTGTTTAATTCTCATTAATGCCCTTGCAGCATTCTTTGACCTTTTAGTAGTGTCAAAGGTTCTACGAAAAGCCGTAAGGAAGCTATCAAAATTATGCACCATAGGTCCATTAGCCTCCCAAATAGAATTTGCCCACTCAAGTGCTTTATCAGTAAGTTGGTGCATAAAGAATCCAACTTTAGACCTGTCAGTGGGAAAGGAACGTGGATACATCTCAAAATGGAATTCCACTTGATTAATAAATCCCCTGCAAGACTTAGCATCCCCTCCATACCTGGGTGGAGGGGTTAAATGTGCAGAAGCATTAGGCATGGTGGATACATCTGGAACAATGGGTGCAGGAGGAGTTGGTACTGTTACTGGAGTAGTTCTAGATAAGAGTGTTTGAAGGGCCTGAGCTATCTGATCCATACAGTGATCCTGCTCTGTAAATCTAGCCTCATGAGAAGCCAATTGCTGACTTAAATCTGTGGGGTCCATGGCCCTATCGTAATGTCATGGTAGTTTACCCCTACACGCAAGATTTAGTCCAACAATCGACAGATAGAGCAGATACGACTTACCAGACCTTAGAATGGCCGGACTCACCGTATAGCAGAGAATAGACAGAGTCAAGAACAAGCTGAGGTCAAGGGAACAAAGAGACTGCGAGAACAAAAACTAGCCCAGGTCTGGTACACAGTAGTCAGTAAGCCGGCAAACAAGACAAAACAGGGATAGAGAGATAAACGGAGTCAGATACAAAGCCAAGGTCAAGCACGAAAATCACAACTGAACACAACAAGCGCTAAAGGGAACTGAAACAGAAACCACGATAGGGCAGGGAGTTAAGAGAGAGGTAAGTATATATACCCTAAACTTTACTTTGATTGGCCCCTGTCATATCCACGCCCCCAAAATGTGAGTGTCTGGGGAATGTGGGATGACAGGGGCCAATGGGAGCACATTTCATTTTTTGGCTCCCACTGCCCCTTTAAGAGCGTGCCCGAGACGCGCGGCACGCTCTTAGAGCTAGGTGGGACACGTGACCGCATCTCGCGGTCCATGCCCGCCTTCATTCGAGAGCCGCAAGTGGCGGGAAGAGAGGAACTCGGCCGGCCCCCGGGTAACGTAAGTACCACTACACATTCTAGGGTCAAGAGGAATTTTTTTCCTAGTTTTTGCAAAATTGGAATTGCTTCAAACTGTTTTTTTGCCTTCTTTTGGATCAACAGCAAAAACAAATGTGAGGGAGGCTGAACTTGATGGACACATGTCTCTTTTCTGCCTTTGTAACTATGTAATTTGACCTACGTATTTAAATTTATTTGCAATTTCTTTTTTTTTCTTTGCATTTTCAAGATTAGTAAATAAAGCACAACAATGCCAGCATTGATTTTTGTAATATAGATTATATAGAAGTAAGCATTAATCTTTGTGTGTCAAATTTGTGTCAAGGTACATTACTTTCATAAGTATTCATAAAACCCTTGGTTGTTTCCACCTATTTTATATTGCCACTCTGGAATCAAAATTAATTTTATTTGGGTTTTTACCATTTTATTTACACAATATGCATACCATTTTCTGAATAGTTTTGTATGTTTGCTACGAAACTCCTAAATATACATAATTAGGAGATGGAATTCACCAGTGTGCAATTAAAGAGTCACATGTTTTCAAACACCTATTTCTGAAAGGCTCCATAAATTATTAGAAAACATATCAAAACAAACATCAAGACCAAACTGTTAACATAACAAGCCCTGAATAAAGACCAGAGAATCACCAATCAGGGTTGTCTTACATAATAATAATCTCAAACATCGAACATGCTTCTGAGTACATTTTTGTTTCGTTGTGTTGACTGTGCCGATACTTTGTCCTATTCTCCTACTCTCTCCCAATGGTTAAAATTCTGACACAATGTACAGAGTTTAAATAATCCATATAAAAGATCCATGGTATTTGAATATATTAAAAAAAGAGGGAGCAAAAATAGTATTATTGCAAGAAATCATTGGTTAGGAAAGATACAAAAATATTTATTCCTAATACTTTTAATATCAAAATATGTTCTTCATTAGAGGATAAAAGAAAATGTGGGGTTGCCTTTCTTGTAACCAGTCATATAGACACACAGATTATGTATCAGGACATAGATAAAAATGGAAGATACACTATAGTAATATGTAAAATACAAAATGAAGTATATACAATAGCGAATTTATATGCACCTAATGTTAAACCTATTGGTTTTATACAAATGGTATTAAACAAAATAGATAATATTAAAAAGGGAATGGTCCTTATAGGGGGAGACTTTAATGGATACAATGCTAGATAGAAATTCACTTGGAGGGATTATCCAAAATAAAAAAAGTAAAAAAACATCAAACCAGCTTAAACTTTTAGTATGTAAATACGGTTTGTTAGACATATGGAGAATTTACCATCCCCAAGAAAAGGACTTTACTGGCTTTTCAAAAGTTCATTATACATATTCAAGGTTAGACCTATTCTTGGGTACAGTAGAGATATCACTTAAGATAAAGAAGGTTCTTATTCAGGAAGTCACTTGGTCAGACCATAACCCAGTCATATTAGACCTTAATATAAGCCCAGATAATAAAATAAGGAATAGTTGGAGGCTAAATGATCTCTTATTAAAAAAGACCTACAGATTACTATCACAAGAAATGAGTGGATAAATGCAAATAATGCTGTAACTAAGGCAATTCATTATTTAAATTCAACTGAAAGTCATTATAAGATCATTAATAGATGGCACTATGTCCTCACTAAATTGGCAACAATGTACCCATCCTCTCAATATAAGTGTTGGAGATGTGGCTCATCTAGAGCAGACTATGTCCATATCTGGTGGTCTTGCCCAAACCTAAGTCAACTATGGAATAAAGTAGCAAAGTTTTGTCAAGAGGTGATAAAAGTAGATCTTGACTTTACTTGCAGGTCTTTTGTACTACATCTGGGTTGGCCTAGAATTTCAAGAAGCAAAAAAGATATAGTGATTCACATCTTAACGGAGACCAAAGCAACATTAGCGAGATACTGGAAATGATCTGATTCCCCATCTTGGGATATGATAAAATATCAGGTCCTGAACCATTGCAAAATGGAGATTGGAATCCTGAGACAAGATAATTATACTAATTCTAGAATAGAACAATGAGAGGAATGGGTAAAAAAATTAATCCCTACATAAGAAAAACAATTGAATCTGTTATTGGATCTTGGTACAGTATGTATATTGGACATTATTGTTAAATATAGGTAGTGAATAATAACTTACATTTTTTTTGAGAAGAATCAAAGATGATAAACTTAGTATGACAAATAACTAACGAATATAGAGACAGATTAGAAAAATGTTTTAATAAATTTATATCTTAGAGAGCTAACACTGTTGATATGTTCATAAGGTTGTTTCTATATTTTCATAAGGTTGTTTCTATATTTTGCTTCTCTATATAAAGCTGTCTTTTGGCTATTTATAGTGTATATTTTATTTAAAAAGGGAGAATAAAAGAGAGAAAGTAAACGGAAAAGGGAAAAGAAAAGGGGAAAATATCACGCCCTATAGTAAGGCACCATCTGTCAGGATTTATAGCTCTCAGCATAGCATAACTTTATGTTTGTATGTTTTTATGTTTACATGATTTGTCATAGACAGTGAATAACTATTTAAGGTCCTCTCAAGTTAAAGTGAAGATACTAAATTTAGTATGTCGTCTAATTTATAAATAAGGTGATAATTAAGGGTAATAAATTTAAAATGTGGTATCTTAGAGTGCTAGAACTGTCGGAATGTATTTATTGTTGTATTGTTTTTTGTTTATATTTTTAAATGTAAGTCTTTTATTGTGATAAATTTTCAAAAAATGATAAAAAATAATGAAATGTCAAAAAAATAATAATAAAACCAATGGAAAATATATGAGATACATGCAACTTGGCTTAGAAAATATTGTCCACCAAAGTTCAGTGATCAGTCGAGGAAGACTTGAGTTACATTAGCAACCAAAAGGTGAGTCAAAACTATGAAGAAAAGGGAGAGAACTATAACTGCATTTGGAAAAAACATTCCCGGGACAATTGGTCTTCACAGGTGCATGGTAAGAAGCCAATTGCAGAAAAAAACAATCAAGACATGTACATGTACAATTGTTTTTGGTAAACAAGTGTTCCGTAATTCTTTAATTCAATACACCACCTGTTGCAATCATGGATCACTTCACCAGGTAGTCTAATCTAGTACTGGTTAGGACCTCTCTCTTCTTCTTCATAACAGTTTTCTTTATGACACAGAGTGAATACGTTTCTGGAAACATCACTTTTAGGATTCCTATCCATGTAGACTTGATAGCATCACACAGTCCTTCCAGAGATTTTGGCCACGCTTTCCTTCTATAAAACTCACATTCCATCTCATTTCTAAAGTGCTGTTTTGGATTGAGAGCCTGCGATTATGTAACATTATGTGGCATGAACTGAGATTTGTCAAGCCACAAACATTTTTTTTACCAATCTTCTGTTGTCCATTTAAAGGAATACATCTTGCCGGAGTGCTTTATGTGTTTGGAGTCCGTCATATTTGTGACCGTTTATAAAAGTGCAGATTCCAAAAGAAATCTACTTGCTTAGAATTGTTTTTTTTTTGCTGCTGTAAGCTCTACAGAGCTAATGAATGTGGCAGGTACGTTAGGCTACAGCGGGTCTGCCTTGCCCTTACCCTGACCCTCTTAACCTATAAGTCTAGTTCTCCTATTCCTAAACCCTCTAACCGTTAATGTTAGTCATTTCTTACCATACAACCTATAACCCTAATAATCCTAATCATAAATGTCCTTATTCAATTAATTCTAAATCCTTTAAAGTAACACTATTAGCACCATAACAACTACATCACAATATGATTATGGCCCTGACACCCTCCTCCCCATCATAAGGAGTCAACACATTTTAGAATGAGTCTATGCCTTACCTGGGTACCACTACGTACCTCCACTACTTTCATAACAGTAGTGGTTATGTTGCTTGGAGTGTTAGTTTTATTCTCCTAGCCCCAATTATTCCCTAACTGAAATTCTCCTATCAAAAATCCTAGAATCCCAAAGCTGGAACATGATTTGGTCTTCTCTGAAATGCACGGACATTTATTTTTATCCCAGCTCAGTCCTTTTTATTGAACAATCTCAATTTTTATCCCTGTGTCAGCTCAATGCCAGCCTGTTGCTTTGTGTAAATTAATGTCTTAAACAGCTAAAAACTACAAGCGTGTCTCCATAAAAAGGTTACAAATAAACAATCAAAGCCACTCACTATATAATAAAGGGGATAGCAGTAAATCCCATAACGATTCTCAACATTGTGAACAAATGTGTAACAAAACAAGCAAACAGAAATGGATTAAGTGTGTTACAGTAAGGAACAGATAATGTAATCACTTACACATGGTTATATGGTAATGGTGATACATGCATATACATTACTATATGTATTTACGTTTACCTATATACCCACGTGTAGGCGATTGCATTATTTTTTTCCTTACTGTAACACAGTTTATCCATTCTGTTTGCTTGTTTCTGTAAAAGTCGTGTGAAATAAACAGTTTAATATACAAATTGTATGATAATAGTTTCAGTGTCTGCTGTGTAATGCAGCCTTAATCTCTTGGAAGAAAACATACTTCATTATAATCAGACTTTTAATATTATACTATGAAGATAAGTTAACATATCAGTCTTTTTTCACATCTTCAAACAAGTTATGTGCAAGCATTATTTCAGTTCAAAAAACCACAATGAAAACACGGCAGTAAACATTTATTGTACACCCATTTCAAAACACGCCCCAGGACTAAAAGGTAAAGAAACATCTAGCTTCTACTAGGGACTGTCCCTAGAATTCCGAGATAGTGTGCAGTTATTTATTATCCCTCTGAGCAGTGACAACAGGCAATGAAAATGCACATCACGGGAAAAGTTAACAACAATAAAGTTAGTCTCAAAATAATTATTATTTTCAACACAGTCTTCAAAATTGTTGCTTTCTTCTTTGAATTGATAGATAATGGCTATGGAACAGGGTATACTTAATATAGGTACTCCCCCCTCTTATAATATTGTAAAGCGCTACAGAATCTGTTGGCGCTATATAAATGGCAATAATAATAATATGGTACTGCAGTTCTCTACAGTCACGGCTCGTGAGAAATATTCAGTAAGAGGTGTGCGTATAAATCTCACCTGTTAAAGTATCAAAAACTGTAATCAATGTACATTAATGGACAGGACTGACATCAACTTTGGGGTGCTCGCAGGGCCGGACTGGGGAAAAAATTAGGCCCGGGCATTTTTCAATCAGAGCGGCCCCCTAAGAAGGGGGCGGGGCCAGAGAGGGTGTGTTTTGTCATCACTAATGACAAGCACGCCTCCTCTCAAAGTGAGCATGTTGGTTCAATGCGCAGAGCTGCGCTGAAGAGCTCTGGCATTAGAAAAAGGCCCTGTATTTGTTCTGCGCAGCGCAAGCAAATTTAATAATATGCTTGCGCTGTGTTTGCTTTTAAATTGTCTCTGGTGTCTCAACAAGTGGGATACCAGAGGACAAAAGGGACAGGAAAGTGTATGGTGCATGTGTTTGGAGCCTGCTTGTGGGATTGCGTGTGTGTAGAGTGTGGTGTGGTATTGTGTAAATAGGTCAATTTCATATGTGTTTGTGGTGTAATATGTGTGGCTAGGGGCTGTAGAGAGTGTGTGTATAGGTGGCATAGTGTTATAGGGGATGTAGCGAGTGTGTGCATATGGCTGTAGTGTGTGTGTATAGGTGACTTAGTGTGTGTAGGGGTTGTAGAGAGGGTGTGTTTAGAGAATGTTGTATGTGTTTGCTGACAAGGAATGTAGTGTGTGTGTAGGTGGTGCAGTGTGTGTGTAGGAGATCTAGTGTGTAAAGGACCGAGAGTGTGTATAGGAGATTGTGTGTGTGTGTGTATAGAGGATTAAGAGTGCATATAAGGTAAGGGATCTAGCGTGTATCTGGAGCGTAATGTATGTAGTGCTGTAGTGTGTGTGTGTGTGTGTGTGTGTGTATATATATATATATATATATATATACATACATATATATATTTGGACGTATTTTATGTGTGAGGGGCACAGTGTGTGTGTATGTAAGAGGGGTGCTGTGTGTGAGGGTGTTTTTATCTGCCGTCACATTCTAATTTTCTTTGTCTGTTAACTCACTGAGGGTTATTTTATATATTATATATATATATATATCTGTAAATATATATATATATATATATATATATATGTGTGTGTGTGTGTGAGCGAGGGTGCTGTGTGTGAGTGAGGGTGCTCTGTGCCTGAGTGCGCTGTGTGTGTCTGGGTGCGCTGTGTGTGTCTGGGGGTGCTGTGTGTCTGGGGGTGCTGTGTGTCTCTGGGGGTGCTGTGTGTGTCTGGGTTCTGTGTGTCTGGGGGTGCTGTGTGTCTGGGGGTGATGTGTATGTCTGAGGGTGCTGTGTGTGAGTGAGGGTGCTGTGTGTGAGTGAGGGTGCTGTGTGCCTGAGTGCGCTGTGTGTGTCTGGGGGTGCTGTGTGTTTCTTCGGGTGCTGTGTGTGTGTCTGGGGGTACTGTGTGTCTAGTGCTGTGTGTGTCTGGGGTGCTGTATGTCTGGGGTGCTGTGTGTTTCTGGGGGTGCTGTGTGTTTCTTGAGGGTGCTGTGTGTGTCTGGGGGTACTGTGTGTGTCTGGGGGTACTTTTCGTGTGTCGGGGTGCTGTGTGTCTGGGGTGCTGTGTATGTCTGGGGGTGATGTGTGTGTCTGGGGTGTGTGTTTCTAAAGGTGGTGTGTCTGGGGTACTGTGTGTGCCTGGGGGCGCTGTGTGGCGTCTGTGGGTGCTGTGTATGTCTGGGTGCTGTGTGTTTCTGGGGTGCTGTGTGTTTCTGAGGGTGCTGTGTGTGTCTGGGGGTACTGTGTGTGTCGGGGGTGCTGTGTGTCTGGGGGTGCTGTGTGTGTCTGGGGGTGATGTGTGTGTCTGGGGGTGCTGTGTGTTTCTGGGGGTGATGTGTGTGTGTGAGTGTGATTTTTTAATTTAAATTATTTTTTTATTTTATTAATAATAATAATTTTTAAAAAAGTTATATCCCCCCCCTCCCTTCTTACCTTTAGCCTGGGAGGGGGGGGGGGACCGTTTTGCCTGGGACGGGGGGGGAGCCGTTCTGCCAGGGAGGAGAGCCATGCTGCCTGATCCCTGGTGGTCCTAGTGGTGAGCGTGAACTCTAGCCTGTAGGCTAGAGTTCACTCTCGCGAGATCTGAGCGTTGCCGCGGTAACCGCGGCAACGCTCAGAATCCCGCGAGAGGACCCGGCGGAGCTGCTGGATAGAGCTCCGCGGGTCCTCTCCTCCCTCCCTCACACCCCAGCAAGCGGCCGCCTGGAAGTGTCTCTGGGCCGGTAAAGGGAGATCTTTGATCTCCCCACCGGCCCATGGAGGCACACAGCGGGGCCGGCGCTCGGGTAGCGCTGGCCCTGCAGGAGCCGGCCGGGGAGATCCTGTGATCTCCCCTGCCGGCCTCGGCCCCACGGCCATCGCGGCCCACCGGGCATTTGCCCGGTATGCCCGATGGCCAGTCCGGGCCTGGGTGCTCGTCAAACCAATGATAAAGAACTAATGCAATTTAGGTAAAGTTAGTAGTTGCAAAAGAGGGAAAAAATACATGTACGGTATACCAGAGGCTGTAAATTAACCCAGAGTGTCCCTTTAATAAAGAACGTGGAAAGGAATATGTAATAAGATAATTATACCTCGCCATTTATATGTAGAGAGGGCCCTGGTGTAAAACATTCTATTGGTTCTTGCTTTCAAATCGCTACATAATGCTGCTCCCACCTATCTACCCTTATACACAAGTATGTCCCGTCTAGGCCCTTACGATCTGCTGAAGACTTACGTCTATCTTCTGTCCGCACTCCCACCTCTGATGCTCGCCTTCAAGACTTCTCAAGGGCTGCACCGTTTCTAGGGAACTCACTTCCCTCCTCCGTTAGATGCTCACCCAGTCTCCCCACTCCTTCAAAACAAATGTTAAAAACCCACTTCTTCATAAAAGCGTATCAATTAAACTGTTACTAGCTCCTGACTGATTCCTCTTCTGCAACTGTCACTAGTCTAATACTATCCTTACCTTTTTGTGTCATTTTACCCCACTCCCTCTAGCATGTAAGCTCATTGAGCAGGGCCCTCAACCCCTCTGTTCCTGTGTGTCCAACTTGTCTGGTTACAACTACATGTCTGTTCGTCCACCCATTGTAAAGCGCTGCGGAATTTGATGGTGCTATATAAATAACATAATAATAATAATAATAATAATAATAATAATAATAATAATAATAATTAGCTGTCCTCTAGCACAAGGCTGTCCAAAAAGGGAATCTCCATCTGTCTTAAAACTCCCACAATACTTTTCCAGCTAGGTATCTACCATATTCTTGTTCTTGCAGGGTGTATATGTGAGCATTGTTTGAATGTCTACATGTATTGTATGGAGTATGCGTGTGAATGTATTGGTGTATTTATGCATAGTGTTGCATGTACTGTTGCAATTTCAAAGCGGTGGTATATTTGTGTGTAGTGGTTTTGTTTCAATTCCGGTGCCTTGTTTGTATGCAGTGTTTGTGTTGGTGTTTGTAGTGTTGGTGTTTGAATGCTGGTGTATGTGCACATTTATACATACACAGTCACACACACATACTGACAAATACACACACACATATACACATTGACACACACAGGTCATAATTTATGTATTTTAGCCATCCTCCTGTTTCCATGCAATTCCAAGAAGGATATTTTTCCATTTTTGTGGCATATTTGTAAATGACTACAATTGAGTTTTTGCCTTTTTTGGATCAATAGCATAAAATAATGGGCTTCAAGGTTGAACTTGAAGGACTCTAGTAATATGGTGAATTTTCAGGTGTTGTTCCTTTAAAAGTCAAATACTTTTCTATCACAGAGACATGTTATGCTATGTACTGTTATGTTTAGGATATTATTGACAATGGATTATTAATTAAATATTAATAAAAAATAATGTCCTCCTAAGTTTATCATGGATCCCGGAATCAACAATCCTTCCTTTGTCATTCTTGCCACCAATGCTTCTACTTTCGTCAAGTCGCTGGATACAGGTTCCCATATTGGTTATAAGAACCTTTATTCTGATTACTATGTTCATTTAAAGATAGCACTTAATGTTACATATAACACACAGACTCCATAAATATTGCAATAATCATGCTTGTTGAACATGTATATTTTATGTGTGAATTGCCACTAGTGTGTTTTCACTTTGCACTTTTATGCAGTAGTGATTAGCACATTGCACTTCATATATAAATATACATAAAAGTGCAAAGTGAAAACACACTAGCTGGTAATTATAGCTAATGATATACACCATATTTTTTTGCTCCATAAGACGCACCACACCATAAAATCCCACCTAGTTTTTAGAGGAGGAAACCCAGAAAAAAAAATATTCTGAACAACTGTCCTATAGCAAGTTTTTAACACTCCCTCCCCTGTCCCAGTGTTCCTCCTACCACCAACACCCCTCTCTCCTGTCACATAGTGATCTGTAACCCCCCTCCCCTGTCCCATAGTGATCTTTAACCCCCCCTTTCCCATAGTGATCTTTAACCACCCCTTCCCCTGTCTCATAGTGATCTTTAAGCCCCCCTCCCTTTTCCCATAGTGATTTTTAACCACCCCCCATCTTATAGTGATTTTTAACCCCTCCTCCTCATCCCATAGTGTTCTTAAGCCCCCCTCGCCTGTCCCATAGTGTTCTTTAACCTCCCCTCCCCTTGTCCAATAGTGTTCTCCCCCCCCCTTGTGTTCTCCCTCCCCTCATCCCATAGTGTTCTCCCCTGTCCAAGCGTTTCTCCCCCTCCTCTTGTCCCATACTGTTCTCCCCCCTCCTCTCATCCCATAGTGTCCCCCCACCTCCCCTTGTCCCATAGTTATCTTCCCTACAGTTACCTGTATTGTAGTGTGGGCCGGCAGAACACCGCGCACCGTGGTACAGGAACTTAAATTTCAGTTTCCAGACATACTGAAAATAAGTGTGCATACTGAATGCGCACTTCTTTTCATTCTGGCCAGAAACTGAAATTTGAGTTCCTGTACCGCGGTGCGCGCTGTTCTGCCGGCACACGCTACAATACAGGTAAGTAAATTTTCACATTCGCTCTATAAGATGCACAGACATTTCCCCTTACTTTTGAGGGGGGGGAAAAAGTACATCTTATAGAGCGAAAAATACGGTATACAGTTTGTAGGTTTAGCACTCCAGCTTCCCAGTCTTATAGCCCGGAGGTCGACTGCACTGCATACACCAAAAAAATAAATTAGCCAGCACTCTAAGTCTTGTGAAAAAATAAGATTTTCTTTATTGAATTGAAGATCCCACAGAAGGTCAACGTTTCAGTTCATATTAGAACTTTCATCAGGACATATATATATATAATTAGTTATTGCTTTTGTGTGGGTAATTCCTCCCTATCAATTGTTCTGACTCTACTGATGGTGTTCTCAGCACTATTAATACATTGTTCACTCTTTCCTGACATAGGGTGGATAAAGCCACTTACAGGGTTATTAGCTAAATTGAGAAATAAAAGTGAATTTGAAAATGTTTCCAAGTCTGCTACTTTGTCCTTAAACACTTCAATACAAAAATAAATTAGAAACATTTTTATTTTCCTGTATTTTGCAGTATGAATCTAGTATAAAATAGCCTCATTCACCCTCATTTATACTCTAATTATAATTACCAGCCTGTAGAGGAACAAATGTTTCTCCCAGAAGCGACTCGTTACTGATATAATACCTGTAAAGTTGCGGAAAATGTAAGCTCACTCCCTGCTTTTTAAACAGTGCAGTTCATTTTAATGGGCCATATCATTCCTACTGTCAGGGAAGGTGAGAGTAGTGAATGGACTCATTTTACTGTTAGTATTACATTAGCAGTCTATAGGTTGAAAAAGATTGCTATAGAAGTTTTACCTAATTTTTGTTTTAGAAATATATGATTTAACTCTGTTTACTGTATGTAGGCATTATGCTCAAATGCAGACATTCTATTTAAATGTTTTGTAGCCCCAAGAAAAAAGCGCAGCTTAGCAGAGGGGGCCTTGACAGGGCTTGGAGGTGGGCTTAGGTGGAGCAGGGTTGGTCATTGACAGATAAGGATTCTGGGTAGGCTGATATAAATGTCGGCCATTTTATAACACCTCATTACTAATTGACTTACCAGGCTGAATTGGTCCCTCCCTCACTTTAGTGTTGGGTTTTATTTACCCACTTGGTCAGAGCGGCGGGCTAGTGGAAGTAAAGTTAAGGGGGTAACGGGCCTGCTTAAGGAAGTTAGAGCAAGAGTAGTGAGTTGGCTGTTTCAATATGGACTGGTTACCTGTTGGTAAGATGTTGGTGGTTTCAAGCTCGTTGGTAGCTCAGAACCCAGGTGGTGTAAGGGTATCAAGGTATACCCCTGTCAGGATTGTGTGGAAAATGTTGGATCTTGTTTTGTTATACTTATGGATTGTTATACAATGTTATATTATATATAATGCGTCATTGCCTTGCGAATTGATATGTGGAAAAGTGATAATGATGGATGGCTGAGGATGTGGGGGTGGGCAGCTCCTACAGCCCATATGGCGACAATGCACCTGTCATGCCATTTTCTGTAAGTTGTACTCCTAGTAATGTCTTCAAGGGCCTTACAAATACGTATAAGCAATGTATTTGACAATAGTTATTTATCAATTTTTGTCACACTTTCTGTGTGTGCGAAAAATTGCATTTTTGCTTTTGTATTAACATTTCAGGCCTACTTCTGAGATATTTCAAGATAAAGGACACTGTCTAAATCTTTTCATTTCCCAAATGTATTTATAAAGGATGAACAAATAAGTGAAAAATCAAACCGGTATTGTACATTTACACAATTCTATTTTTGAAGTAGGTCTATTCACAAAATTGTTTTGTTGTGATATGTTTATATGCCAGTTATGCACCCCTTACTTTAAATGTTATGCCAATATTTTCTTTTTAATCAAAAAGTGCTTAGAAGTGAAGGGGTTAAATATGAAATTTACTTTGAATTTGCACTTTCATGAATAACCCGGTTCATGTTAAAATAATGCAAGTTCATCCTCACTTGGTTGTTCTAAATAAATCCATTTACTGTAGAGTCATTTTAATGACTAATCTTTCTAAAAATGACACATAATACACTTATGTTAGTCAAGCCAAAACTTCCTTAATTCTGTGCTTTTACAATAAACGTTTTGTATTTTATTACAGTCAAATTTCATGATAGTATATAAATAGTATAGTTCTGAAAACTTTTATTTATTTATTTTGCCCACTCCCAAAACATTATTGTTCCTTTTTCTGACATTTATTTTGGCAAAGGAACCTGATTCTTACCTCTAAAAAGTTCTTAGTTTTTGGTACTGGATCTCTTCCCAATCATGGAAACGAATGCTCGCTGCTCATGCCCAGTAAGCCAAAAGCAAAGTCAATTGGACTGGGCATGCGCGGTGCTCGGGGAAGGAAAAAAGGCTGGGTTGCAAGATTTCAGAGGAATGACGTGATGGAAAGGTGAGTATTTAGACGTGACTTTCCTTAAGCTCCACCCATTGTCAAGATTTGTCAACCACTGAAAAAAATACATAAAACAAAGTAGCCCTTACTTTGTTTTATGTTTTGAAAAATAAATAGTTCCAGAAAGAAAAACAAAACCAGAAAGAGGAAGAGAAGAGGAAACAATTGGCGAAAGGTATGTTTTTGGTCGCATTGCCTCTTCCAATGTTCCCTCTAATGTGATTAAACCATTAAAAAAAAAATAGCATGCAAATTACATTGCGGCACGCTATTTTGGAGATCTGTAAATATTAAGAATATACAAAAACCGTACTCAGCATTGCTAAGTATAAGTCTTCACAATGCATTTCTCTAAGGAATTCTCTATGAAGTTATTCAGTACTGAATTGTTCATCATGTACAGGACACCATTAATCGTATGGCTACGGCTATACTGAAGGCAGTTCCCAAAGAGCTTGCTATCTATGTATTTTTTGGGGATTCCTTCCGTTCATACCTCATTTGTCTAGCACTAGCAGATGGGGAATAATTGGGGTCCCTTGAAAAGTCAGGTAGTTTCCAGTGCTGGCAAAGCTCCCCAGAACTTCCTGTAAACTTACGTGCCAAAGCATCCATGAGATATGTTTACAATTGCCTAATATGTGTGTTTTCAGACTGTTCAGTGTTATCTCATGGAAGCATAATGATAAGACAATGGGTTTAATGCATCATAAAATAAAGGGAAATTTCATAGTTTAGCAAAATACAATTAAATGATTGTTATTGTTGATAGGAGTTTAACAATTCAGCCCTGCTGATGAGCCACTGGCGATTTCTCTGCGATCACAATCCCACCACTTCGATACTATTCAAAAACCCTTTGTCCATTTATTGAATCAGTGAAAAATGCCCTATACCTTATGTTAAAACTAAAGTTTAAGCAATCACAATTCTACAGAACAGCTATTGAAGCTTTAACCCCTTAAGGACTGAGCCAAATGTACACGTTGTGATCAAAACAAAACGTAAACAAAAACTTGAATTTGCGCTATATGTCTGTTCAGGCGTAATTCACCTCTTTCATATTATGTGCACCCACACTTATTATATATCATTTTATTCAGGGGAAACAGGGCTTTCATTTGACATCAAATATTTAGGTATGAAACATAATTTAATATGAATACAAAATGGGAGAAAATAATTTTTAAAACTTTTTTAGTTCTACGTGACATTTTAACTGTGAATGTCATAATACTCTTTGCTTTTACTGCAATAAAATACACATATTTGTATTCAGCGATGTCTCATGTGTAAAACAGTACCCCCTATGTACAAGTTTTATAGTGTTTTGGGAAGTTACGGGGTCAAATATAGCATGTTACATTTTTTTGTTTTTTCACATTGAAATTTGCCGGATTGGTTATGTTGCCTTTCAGACCGTATGGTAGCCCAGGAATAAGAATTACCCCCATGATGGCATACTATTTGCAAAAGTAGACAACCCAATGTATTGCAAATGGGGTATGTTCAGTCTTTTTTAATAGCCACTTGGTCACAAACACTGGCCAAAGTTAATGTTAATATTGTTTGTGTGTGAAAAATGCAAAAACTAATTTGAATGCCAATTTTGGACAGTCTTTGTGACTAAGTGGCTACAAAAGAAGACTGAACATTTGCAATACCTTGAGTTGTCTACTATTGCAAATGGTACGCCATCACGGGGGTAATTTTCATTCATGGGCTACCATACGGTCTCAAAGGCAACATAACCAACCTGGCGAATTTCAATGTGAAAAAACTGAAACGCAAGCCTTATATTTGACTCTGTAACTTTTGAAAACACCATAAAAGCTGTACATGAGGGATACTCGGGAGACTTCGCTGAACACAAATATTACTGTTTCAAAACAGTAAAACGTATCACAACAATTATATTGTCCGTGTAAGTGCCATTTGTGTGTGAAAAATGCAAAAATTTCACTTTCACCGACGATACCGTCGTTGTAATACATTTTACTGTTTAGAAACACTAATATTTGAGTTCAGTGAAGTCTTCCGAGTAAAACAGTACCCCCCATGTACAGGTTTTATGGTGTCTTGGAAAGTTACAGGGTTAAATATAGTGCTAGCAAATTAAATTCCCTGGACTTTTTGGGTTGTCAGACAGGTCCCGCAAATTGTAATTAATAAAATGACCTAATTATGTAACATTATTACATAAATATATATGTAGAATTATTATATATATATATATATATATATATATATATATAGATATATACTTGTGTATATATCTATATATATATATATAATTTTTGTAAATTATTTTTATTTATAAATAGGTATATATATAGTGATATATACGTATATACTTATGTATATAGATATATATTATTTCATTCTACATTTATTTTGATATATGTATATATATTAATTTTAAAATACAGTTAGAACGAAATTACAAATATATTTAAAAAATTAAATTTTTAACGTATTTACCTATTTATTTTATATTATATAAATATATATATAATGAAAATTATATATATATATATATATATTTAATCAGTATCATTGTACGTGTATTTTGATATTAATATATTAATATATATTTATAATTATATATATATATATATATATATATAAATATTTAAATACACTTAGACAGTGTATGTATATGTGTATATATATGCTAAGATCATATATATAATAAATATATATATGATCTAAGTATATATTTTATTTTAAACTGTTATTAAATCTTTTATTTTACAGTTTTCAGGCACTCCCCCTGCTGGCACTGACATGGATGGCTATGCCGTCCATGTGATCGTGAGGTCCTCGCAAGGACCTCGGGATTACATGGCCCAGGAGGGCCGAAGAGGAAGTAGGGGGACTCCATGGGCTCCCAGGTGAGTCCCAACACCGCGATCGCCGGCGTGGGATCGCTGACGACTGGATATGTACATATGATGGCTTGGGCTTTCTATGCCGCCCACCAGCATTTACAGCCGGGTCCCCAAGGACGGCATAGAATGCCCACCGTCCTTAAGGGGTTAAAGGGGAACTGTTGCATCCCAGTATTTATAATATGATGTTACTTATCCCTCTATTGAACAAATATGTATTTTTGAGTTGTGAAAAATTAAATTAAACATAGAAATCCCTACAACTGGGTGCTCCATCTTAGCTCCCTATCAATCACTGTTATAAAGTGTATCCTATGTAACTGACAGTCAGTATAGATATTACATACAGATAGAGAAAATAGACTATTTCATCAACAACAAAAAAAGGTTAACACGGTACCGGTTACCGTTAATGGGACCATTGGACAAATTCAACATCTAAACGGATTTGAAAAATAATGAAAAATAACCTATACAAATTAAAAACATGAACATAGCAAACACCACACACACTTCCCTTGACTTTATGATAGGTACAAACAACAAAACCTATACACACGGACAGGGCAAACACCACAAACACTTCCCTTGACCTCATGATAGGTACAAGCAATATGACCTATACACATGGACAGAGCAAACACCACAAACACTTCCCTTGACCTCATGATAGGTACAAGCAATATGATCTATACACATGGACAGGGCAAACACCACAAACACTTCCTTTGACCTTGTGATAGGTATAAGCAACTGTTATTTATTAATGTGAGAATTCAAGGTGAATTCAAAATGAATTTCAAATTGAAGGCCAAAGCAGCCATACTGGAAAAATTTTCAGCTAGGTTAATTCAGATATTTTGGCCTTCGATTTGAAATAGAATTTGAATTCACACTTAAGAGATGAACCCTGTCAATAATTATTGCTCATATTCAGTTAAAGGGACACTATAGTCACCCAGACCACTTCAGCTCAATTAAGTGGTCTGGGTGCCAGGTCCCCCAGGTTTTAACCTTTCAGATGTTAACATAGCAGGGTTAATCCAACCTCTAGTGGCTGTCTGCCTGACAGCCACTAGAGGCGCTTCTGCGACGCTGGATGCGAAAATCGCATCCAGTGTGCAGAATGTCCATAGAAAAGCATTGAGAAATGTTTTCCTATGGACTGTTTGAATGCGTGCACGGCTCTTGCCGCGCATTCGGCTCCACTCGGGAGCTGACGTCGGCAGGGGAGGAGAGGTCACCAGCACCGAGGGAGCCCGGTGCTGGATTAAGGTAAGTAGCTGAAGGGGTTTTAACCCCTTCAGCCTAGCGGGAGGGGGACCCATAGGATTGTATAGTGTCAGGAAAACGGGTTTGTTTTTCTGACACTACAGTGATCCTTTAAAGAAAAAATAAGCACTGTAAAAAAAACATAACAAGTTAAAATAACTACGTAAAAATTTTGCACAATGCCTTAAATGTCTGTTTTCCAATAGTCTATGAATTTTGGGTTGTGATCTCATGAAAAACTGTCATGTGATTCTGTACAAAAGTCAGAAAATATTATTTATCAGTTATTGACTAGTTTATACTTTACACCAATATCAATAGATTACCCTTATTGGAATGTTTTGTTTTTTTAGACTGATAAAGCAAAATATCAAAATAATTTTATATAAAAAGAAAAAGGTTTTATTAATATTTGCTTATAAGATCTCCCACACTCTGCCTTCCTGCCCCAGCACTAAACAGGAATTGGCCAATCTGGTGAAATGTAGACAGTAAACAGTGTAGACAGGTCCCCATTCTGAGATCCAAACCAGACCCACTATGTCTCCCATCTTTTCAAGTAATGCATAGAGACCATCAACATGTAACTTCAGGATAAGGTTTTGCCCTCTCCTCACTGGACAGGCATATATCAACTCCTGAAACTCTTCCTTCTTGCTTGCTGGAATCAATACGTCTAGGAGCTCCTAATACCAACTTTGCAAGGATGGTTTTGTCTCACAGGTCCAACTGAATAAGCTCTTAACACACAGGTCCAACAAGTCTGTCACTTATACACCACAAGGCTTAGCCTTTAACATGTTTATTCTAAACTGAGGTAGTTTGACTACAGTCTGTTCAAAAACACAAGGTCACAAGTTCAAATTCCACCAGTGTCGATAAATAAGTACCATCAGTTTATAATAATTAAGCTGCCAGTTAATTCTGAAATGTGCTTTGAGTATCACTGGGAGAAAGGTGCTATATAAATACTATTATATGTAAAAACAGAGAACAAATATCCAATTCCAGAATATAATAAAATATCTCTTAGTACCTGAGTAGGTAAATGAGAACATCAAAATATAAAGAAGTGGGTCTGCAACAATCAGAATATTCAAATATATGCAAACTAGACAAGAGTTCAACGTTCTCACTACAATGTTAGAAAAGAAAGTCTTCAATGACAGTGACATTTATAACATTCTGTTATCACCTGTGTCTCAAATTGCTATTTTTGATTTACTGAGCCAACATGAATGCATGGCATCGAATGCATGAATAAATGGATGAATTAATGAATGGCATATGTGAAGCATTTTCTATTGATGCAGCCCCCAGACTGCCACAGGATTTGGTATTTTATTGGTGCCCCTTTTTTCCCACCAGGGGACAATAAAATGGGAAAGCATGGCATGACACTCACATGTACAGGACACTGTGAAATGCGCATCAATCACACCTCCAGTACTTAGGTCCCTGCTTTCTAAAGAGTGAGAGACATATAAAGAGTAGAGATGAAGCACAGGGAGTTTTCGTTGTAAACACCATGCATCTGTTTTTTTTTTTTTAATGGTTCATTATTTGCATGATGCTTTGCTAAGTGCATGGTTTCATTTTTAGTATGTCCTTCTGAGAAAACCGTGGGTTGCCTCATGCTTATTTACCAATGGCTGAAGAACACTTGATTTAGAATTCTGAGATAGATCTAACATCTATTCTTAACCCTTTAAGGACACATGACGTGTGTGACATGTCATGATTCCCTTTTATTCCAGAAGTTTGGTCCTTAAGGGGTTAAGCACCCACAAAGGTAAATGCAAATTTCTACAGCACATTCTGATCCCATTTGAGGTCTGTTAAGTTATCAAAAGTAGTCATGAATTGGGCTATGAAAAAAAACTACAGAACATCCTTATGAGAGCATTTTGCCCAGATCAGTTGGATACCTGCAGGCTATGATCCAGTTAATGTCATAGGAATGAGAAGCATGAATAATTATTTTATGATCACTTGTAATCTTATCAAACATAACAAGGCATACAACTTTAAAGCTGTTCAGTAAATAGTGAAAGCACAAAAAAAAAAACGATATTTGATTAGGAGCTGAGTTGACTTGAGAATGCCCCAGTGCAAGCCATGTTTTAAATGCTTAAATCAAAATCGTGAGAGACACTCCAACAGCCCAGGGTTGCATTTTTTCATATTCTATTTTTATTGAATGTGGTTCACTAGAGTTGTGAAGAATATGTTGGATTTAAGTCAACTTTTGGAATGTCACACGTAGGTAGATAAAATTTTACCTTTCGTTTCTCATGTAAGAAATGCACATATAGTATGTGACACCTGTTTTCTTGCACACAAGGGCTTTTGACACACTTGGAAGAACTGCGTACATAACAAACATTCCATGAAGGTACATAATCTCTCTTTTTACTCTAATTTCAGGGGGCGCGCCTTCATTTTTACAATCTTTGTATTCATTTCCGAGCCATGTCATGCTGAACACACCACTTCTGCCAATGTTGCTAAGCCCTGACTTGCAGATCCAGGCAGATATCGAGGCAGCTACCCAATCAGATGATGATGGAGACACGTAAGGATTTAGAATCAACTACCTTATTGATTGTTCCTCTGCTAATCCATCCTTACTAGCTGTACCCCAAATGATTGTGTCTTTTTCAGCCATAAATTGTGCAATGAACCTCCTTACCAAGCTCTTTACAGATTTATTTATCAGTGCTCAATCTGATATTCTGTTGGCCCAATTTAATAAGAAGTCTCTTCACCAGTCTGTGTATTGTGCAGAAATAATGAAAGATATATGTTTAATGCCACCTAACTAAAAATAGAAGAATTTTCTGACTAGGCTGTGTCTCCAGCTCGGCTAGGTCCGATTATAACTTAGAAATTTAGTTCTCAACATTTCAGCATTTACAGTGTTATTTACTAATTGGTGGGGATTTAAAATGTAAGGCCAAAATAGCCATTACTCACTTTAGTGAATAATCCTGTAATTGTGCAACTAAGATTTACACCTGCATGCACTTCCTCTGATTTCCTGCACGTATGAAGCTCTTACTGTCAGGACATTGGGTAGACACTGCAGATTAAATCTTGCCCTTTCCGCTAAATTTATTTAAAAAAAAAAAAAGAAATTTAATTCCGCATGTCCGGGAGCTTGATTTACCTGTTCTATACCTTCAGGCACAATGTTGAAAGCCAAAGACAATTTAATAGACTGGTGTAGATCCACTGACTATTCAAAATAGAATTTTACCAACGCAATGTAGATTAAATAAATAACTGAAGTTGAAGTAGAAGGATGACAGATAACATATGCATTAATAAGAGATAAGCATATCTCAAGAGACACCAACAGTGGAACAAAGTTAAGGAATGTCCAAATCCTGGGTATGCCTTTGGTAGGGAACCATGCATGTCAGAGAGCTGTGTTCAGTCACTCTGGTTAGTTTCGTTCTTGTAATATAACTGAAGAGGTTAGATGTTTCTCGGTGAAGAACCCTGCAAACAGAAATTGTAGGAAATTCAAAGAGAATTTACAATGAATTAAAATTGTTACGCCAAAATAGCTTATTCTAAAACTTGGAGAATTATTTTTCATTCAGCTATTATTCACTTTAAATTACAGACAATCCATGCTATAGCTCCCATTTTATTAATACATACTTAATATTAATACTTAATAAAATGTACACTTACCTTAAAGGGACACTCTAAGCACTGAAACAACTAACAGGATTATTCAGTTATGTGAAAATTTTACATTTTAGATCAAAATAGCAACATTTTAAAATGTTCTATGTCATCTAGGCTTCCAGTTGGCTACCTTGGCCTTCAATTTGAATTTGTCTTTAGTGAATTACCCTGTTAATCTTAATGCAGTGATTTGGGTACATAGACAATGCTTTTTTTTTCACACAATGTGAAACATTGCTGTTTATGAGAAACTGTAATGTTTACATTTGTCCAAAACAACACCTCTATTGGCTGCCAGACAGACATCCACTAGAGGCTCTTCCTCCTTAAGACCTTTGAAAATCGAAGATTATTACATTCAGTATAATCATTCCCAGCATGATTATGCAATATGTTAATTATGCTTCTCATTGGATTAAGTGCTTCTCTAAGAGAAGCATCTGACTGCTGGATCAGTGTTACCACATGAGTTTAATTTGACTCAGAGTTTTTAGGTCTCAGATTTCCTGTACCACACCCACATGCCAATTGCCAATAAAGGCCTGGACGTAATATTTTTGAATAAACTTTGCAAATGATTGAATATATATAAAAATATATATCCGCTGCCAGGTCCTTGCAGAGTTCTGCCAGCATTTTTTTGAGCTGATCCGCTGTGACCGGTTCCCTGGCCATCTGTGAATCAATTTTGCATCCAGGAGGTCCGTGGCAAAATCCTCAGAGGAGTATGAGGATAGCTCGTCCGTCAGTGCCATCTTGGCCCATGCTGCCTGCTGCATGCTCCTGAGCATATCTCCAATATCCTTCCCGTGGGGACTCTTTACGGCTTTTGCCTTCTTTGTTTTCCAGCCCATGATCTCCTCTCCTGTCGTGGGTAGGTTTTTTTTTTTTGCCTCGGATTTCGCTCTATATTGTTAGATTGCACGAGTTAGTGTCCGAGTTCCAAGAAGTGCATCCGCTCCGTTGCCTTGCTTGCTCGGCCCCCCATATAGATATATTTTTTAATGTGACATATTTTTTGATATTTTAATAATTTGAAATAATAATTTGAAAAGCTTATTCAAAAATATTAAATCAAGGCTAAAATTAGCACATCTCACAATCAGATTGCCTGTAGAGAAAAGAGCAATATCTTTGGCTTGATTTTAGGGGTGCATATAAAAATACATACCTCAGAGTAGTATTGTTTAAAAGAGAAACTGACACTTTCAAGGTTTTTAAAAAAGTTTAATTATATTTATCCCTGTATTTAAAAAAATAAATATTTGTGAGATATAAAAATAAATAAATTAAATGCAGAAATATGCACTTTTTTTAACCTGCAACTAGGTGTCTCCATCTTAGCTACCTGTCAGTCATGTTAGAAGCTCTGTCCTTTCCACTGTCAGTCAGAATAGAAAACATGAGGAGAAATTAAACAATCTTCTATTTCTCCTCTTCATTTACAAAGTTTGCATTGGCTTTGCCTTATCTGAACTGGATTATGATGTAATTTGTTAAGTCATCTTCTGCAAAAAAAAAAAAGGTTAATATAAATTACAGTTGATTTTCATTGTTTTATATAATGTTGTAAATTCCACAGAAGTGACAGTACCCCTTTAAAACACAGTCATTATATTTGTGTTTTATAGAAATCCGTAAACTGTCGGCAGATCCTTAGTAGCTGTTAAATTGTTACACTGGAAGATAAATAAACAAACAATTATTAATCTATGTGGTCTTTTTTTTTTTTTACTTTGTATATAATATATATATATAAAAGAGATATTATTTTATATTATATATAAAAATGTCTAAATGGGCATTATCTAAAAACAGAGAAATATTATTAAAATTGCAGTTTTACTAAATATAGAATGAACTAAAACACACCAGAGTGATTTAAAAATGGGACCCTTTTGTAGATATTGTTTTGTATGTTAAGAACAAAAATCAATAATCAATGATAATCATTGTATTTTGGTGGAATTAACATATTGATTGCTATTTTGGTCGGTATCCTTTTACACGAGTGCAGACACGAATGGCAAAACATTTTATCATGGAAGCATTTTATGTCACTCCACATGTCACTGTTTTGCCAGACAGTGTATGTTGTGCTTGCGTGTGTCTGATATTTATTAAAACGCATGTGATCTGGAAGCCAGCTGTTAATGTTGTTACTGGAAGCGATGGAAGGGAGTAGAGAAATCACCCAACATGCCGTATAGAAACCACGCGTTTTCACCCCACTCCCCACCAACACTCTGCGACCACAGATTTCCTCCTAGAACCTCTGCATGCCCCCCTCCCCCAACTTGTTTACACATTCTGCACTATATGACCACAGGATTCCCCCTTTTCTTCCCATGTTAAATACTTATATCCTATCACACAGGCAGTCCTTTTGCTCTCTTACCTCCTTTTCTATGTACATTTGGCCTTTGCTCCCACTCCATCCACACCCTGTTAGTTTTGAAATTGATTTCGTCCTGTATCTGACTATTTCCTTGTATTCCATTGCAATATGTAAATACTTCAACAATTCCTAACCTTATTTGTATGTCATGTTACTTCCTAGCATTTCAAATTCGCTAAGGAATTAATTTATCCTTCCATCCTTGCTTCCACACACCAGTCTCCTCACCTATTATCTGTCTATCCCTTTGTTTTGTTTGTCTGTGGAGATACGACTAAACTAACGCAAAAGATCAACGTATTTAATTTGCTCAAATGTTTTTTCTAAGCATATTTGTTGCAGTGCAAGCACACGTGAGTTAAACAGCTGAGGAGCTCTGTGATTGACCCACATACACCGCACATTTTACTGAGAGTATGATTGTCCTGGGCACTCTTAGAACCATTTATAAAATTAACAAATTATTGGGAGCTTGATTGCCTGGAAGCTCTGTGATACCAAAAACACAGCATATTACTGTGTGAGTTTTATTGTTATGGAGCGGTGGAATAAACTATAGAGGAAGGACACCAGGGTAAAAACAACAAACTTGGGCTAGACTTGGAGAGCAGTATGTTGAAATTGGATGATATGTCAAAATTGTAGTGTTCTTCTCCAAGAGGAGGAATCTATTATATGAAAGAACGTTACCAGAAGTTGCCTAGACCTTTAATACAGACGACTCAATGTTGCATGACAATGAATTGAACAAATGAGGATAAATTTGTAGAATCCAGGATTATCAGTCGTTATTCTCTCTGTCTTCATTGCTTCTCTCTTCTCCTCCACCCACAAGGCTGTTTAGTTTCACTTTATAGTAAGAGCTGTATTTTCTGTGAAATCCCTTAAACTTCCTAAAACTGACGCACATGTAACCATTTCCCCCTCCCCTCTGCTCTCTTCTCTTAAACTAATAACGTTTAACAGCTCTTTCTGTTGGGTTCAACTAGGTGCATGCATAGCTCAGGTCAACCACCTATATGCACGTAAATCACATGCTTTGTGTGCATTTAATCTGTTCTGTTCTCACCCCAAAACAAACAGTGATAAAGCAGGGCTCAGTTATAAAGGTCAAATATGGGAAAACATTCTAATATCACCACGGAAACAAACACAAATAAAATTACCTCTCTTTATGATTCCACCTTCAGATAGAGGATCTGCAAATAGGAGTGGGACAAAATCCCTCCTGAGATGTGTGCAAACCTGCTGGCCAACTACAAGAAGACCTCTGTGATTGCCAACAAGGGTTTGGCCACCGAGTACTAAGTCAAAGGGGTCAAATACTTATTTCACTCATTGACATGCAAATCAATTTTTAACTTTTTTGAAATGCATTTTTCTGGATTTATTTTTTGTTATTCTGTCTCTCTCTGTTAAAATATACTTCCCATTAAAATTATAGGCTGATCATTTCTCTGTCAGTGTACAAAGTTCAAAATCAGCAGGGGATCAAATACTTTTTTCCCCTCACTGTATATTTTTCTGTTTTATCCAGTCCAATGCCTCTTAGTTTGTATCTTCACTTTTTTTTTTTTTTAAATACCTAATTTTGGAATAACTTTAGTTTTGGCTTTTGTTAGTTATTTTATATCTTGACTCCACATCTCCTTTCTCTTCCATTCACAGTTATGTAATCTCACCAATTAAACCTCCAGTTCAACACATCTTAATAATATCCTCCTGAGACCCATCCTATTAACTAACTTGTGTCCTCTGTACTGGACATTTCATTCGCATGCATCTCCTTTTTTTCTTTTGAGCTACTCTATCAACCCCTGCTTTATTGTAAAGTGGACATCCTGGGCTTTCCAGTGATCATGTTATGTGATAGGCTGGGATGCTGGGAACCTCCTAGATAGGAAATCACAAAAAAACAAACAAATTTGAAGACATTTTTTTCCTCGGGTCCCAGGAGGATATATAATATAAACTAAAACCAAAAATCTCCTTTTGGGAGAATGTGTGCTACAACAGATGTGTTAGTGGTGAAAATTGTGAATAGCTGATCTGTACACTAATGTGGATTACCCTTTATTCCACATGCAATTAATATAGAAGAAAAAAAAAAAGAGTATGGTATACAATTAATATATACCTCATATGAAGTGCTATAAATGTTGAGGAATTTTATCACATGACAGGAGGCTTCGTATTTTGCATAATCTTTCTTTACTAACTCCATAGCAGCAAAGAAAAGAGTGACATAACTGAGAACCAATCACAATGCAGTATAGAGTATAAGAGGTGTAACGTATGACATCATTTCCTCTTTCTTTGCTGCTCCATCACAAGATAAGTACAGACTTGGTTTTCCTCTCTGTCCTTACACTATTTGTCATCTATATTTAAGAACTACTGTCTAATTTTTCTATTTCTATTACATTTATTCATTATGTTATTTTAGTACTTCTGTATTGTTACCTTTGGGGGCTTCCCCCCACCCCTCTAGCTCTGGGACCTTTTCCACTGCTTTTATTTGGCTTACCCCCTTTCAGGGAGTCTTAACGGCATTTTCGCCGTTTTCACCTATACTTCCTAGTGTCAGTTAAATTTGCGGGTTTCTTTCCCGCCTTATCGTCATTCGCACGTTTTTTCGCGAACGGCACTTCTGTTCGCATAGACTTGTTCCCTTTGCGAACGCCTAGCGTTCGGCAAATTCCCGCGAACGTCTCTTATTAGGCGCTTGCATTCGTGCGTATTAGCAGAACGCTTCCGTTCGGCTGATTCGTAAGCGCGAACGCCCGCCGTTCGGGTAATTTTTGCCGCTCAAAACATCTAGGGGAGGTACTAAAACCTCCCATTTCCTTCTGCTTTCAGTCCGGCGGCCATTTTAAACGGCTACTACTATCCTGCTTACTACTTCAGCCTATTATTACTGCACAAATACTCTGGAATACTCTTTGAACTCTGCAGCCTTATCAGCTCACTGTGGGACCAGTATCAGGTTAGTGCTTTGCACTTGGGGTCGGTTTCAGCCAGTGGGAATACCCTTATTCTGGCAGGGGTGAGCCCCCTTTCATGTGCTGCTGAAAGGACCTGTTTATGCAGGATTCCAAATTCCTGGGTGAGCCCCAGCGACAGCCCTCGCTTGACTACCAGTCGCATAGCGCTTTCAGGTTAACCACTACCTATTCTACACCACCCCCTGGTCCCCAGGCCTCCCCATTTTGTGCCACAAGTACCACAAGTGCCCTCACGCATATTCACCGGGTGAGCCCCGAGTGTGATTAACAACATGGAAGAATCCCAAAATCCCTCAGATCTCCAGGCCATGATTGCAGCAGCGGTTGCTGCATCCATGGAAAAAGCTTTGGCTAAGTCGTTCCAATTGGAACAAGACGCATCTAAGCCCATTCCCAAACGGGCTCATTATGGGGCGGATTCGGAAGACTCCGATTCCTCCAGGGAACGCTCCCACCCCCCTAAGCGCCATTGGAAAGGCGAGGCTATGGGACCACGTAAATCCAAAGGAAAGGCCCCTGCTAAACGCAGACGAGACACAAGCAAATCATCACAAAAACCCGCTCAGGTTTCCTCTGGGGAAGAGGACGCAGGTCCCTCACACGCGTTAGCCGTGGTTGACGAATGGCAGGCGGCAGCCTCCGACCAAGAGGAATCCGACTACTCCGCTGCCAAATCGGACCCTTACTTTATAGGGGAACAGACCCTGGGTGAGCCCCAGGACTCCGGGACCACATCCCTAGACATCCCACAAGAGGGTTCAGAAATATTTTTGGACAATTCTGGCCTCCGAATGTTCGATCCTAGGAACATTCGCCATCCCCGTTCGGAAGAATGGACACCACCCGAACACTTGACCAGATTCATGCACTTCTGGCTCCGGAAGTCTCTGGACAAAGAAGTGAGAAAGCGTATGAGATCTGAATGTCCTCGCCCGAGCCTACCAGATAAGGTAGCACACACCCCCGAATTCGACCCGCTTATGACCACATTCATGTCCCGCGGGGGTCGGGACCCACGCAAGGGTGTGGAACGTGGTTTCAAGGGAGCTCAGGACAAACTATTAGATGCCATCGGGCCTTTGGCGAGGATCATGGATATGGCAGATGATGCCTATGAAAGGGCTGATGACTTCTCCCCAGATATGGTGCGTGAGTGGGCACGAGATACCCGAGAGTGGGCACAAAGGTGCTTCTGTTTCCTCGGGAACACTAATGTGGCCCTCTCTTCGGAGAGGCGCCGAGCAGCACTTTTCAGAATCGATGACAAGCTTGTCGAACTGGGGGATAAAGAATTAGGCCCTTTGGCACAGGGCAAACTGTTTGGCGAGGCCTTCCTTACTGAGCTTAATAAGAGGGTCAACATATTCACTTCCCTCAATAAGGCACAAACATCAATGCGGAAAGTGTTCCGCGGCCACAACACCCGTGGTGTTTTTGGGAGGGCTGGTCGGCAGAGGGGCCGTGCCACCAGCCGCTTCTGGCCATCCGGCCCCCGCACAACCAGGTCGCAACCATTCTACACAGATCCATCTGCACGCCATCGATTCCATCAGTTCAGGGGATCGGAACGTGGCCGTGGCGGCCGAGGACGCTCCCGAGCGAGATTCTCCAACGGTAAGTTACCATTCTATACTGCCTCTAACCCCTTGCCATATCGCAGGTCGTGTTTCTCTTTTTTTCCAGAATTGGGCAGACCTCTCCTCCGACACATGGATACTTCGGACGGTGCGGGGCTATCAAATAGAATTCGAGACGAGGCCACTCCAACAGGCACCACCTCGCCCGATTCAGTTTTCACGGGCAGACGCTTCTTTGATAGACATGGAACTTCAGGACTTACACGCCAAGGGTGCCATCCAACCAGCGCCGGACTCAACCGGGTTCTACAGCAATATCTTCCTAGTCAGGAAGAAAACTGGGGAATTCCGTCCCGTCATCAACCTCAAGGAGCTCAATTCCTATGTGGTGTACCGCCACTTCAAAATGGAGGGTATCCATCTTCTCCGGGACCTACTGCGAGACAACGATTGGTTCACGCGTCTAGACCTAAAGGACGCATACCTTACCATACCGGTGCACGAAAGGAGCCGCTCATACCTCCGCTTCTACTGGCACGGGACACCTTGGCAATTCACCTGTCTCCCGTTCGGCCTCAGTTCGGCCCCATGGTGTTTCACCAAAATGATGAAGCCGGTAATGGCGAGACTAAGGGCCCACGGCATAAGATGCATCGTCTACCTCGACGACATCTTGATATTCGACGAGGATGCAAGGACCCTAAAGAGACATACAGACTACGCTGTACACCTCCTCGACTCACTGGGTTTCGTTATCAACGGCCCCAAGTCATCACTGACTCCTGCTCAGTCGATCGAATTCCTTGGGTTCGAGATAGACTCAATATCGTGCACGCTACGCCTCCCGGCCGCAAAAATTGCCACCATCCGCAGAGAAATTCGGAAGGTACTTCGACTGACATCCATACCTTTACGTCTACTAGCACGAATAGTGGGCCTGCTCTCGTCATCCATCCAGGCCATCTTTCCTGGACCCCTGCATTACAGAGCCATGCAACGCCTCAAGACAAAGTTCCTTCGCAAAGACCCAACATACGACCAACCGGTCCCCATGTCGGACGAAGTTCGGGAGGAACTGCACTGGTGGCTGAACTGCATGCAGGCTTGGAATGGCCGGGCGATATTCGGAAATCAACCAGACTTCATATTGGAGTCAGACGCCAGCCGCTCAGGTTGGGGAGCAACAGACGGCACCTCCTCCACGGGGGGAGTGTGGACTCCCCAAGAACTTTCGATGCACATCAACTGTTTGGAGCTCCTGGCGGGATCGTTCGCCATTCGCAGTCTGGCAAAAGAACGATCCAACTGCTGCATCCTTCTCCGGATGGACAACGTCTCGGCGGTAAGATACATCAACCGACTCGGAGGCACCCGCTCCCAAGCATTAGTAGAACTCACGAAGGAAATCTTCGATTATTGTCTGCCTCGCAACATCACGCTATTGGCGGAACACTTACCAGGAGAGACCAACACGACAGCAGATTGGTACTCACGCCACTGGAGGGACGCCAGCGACTGGCAACTAGACCCTCGCGTTTTCACGATGCTAGATACACAGAGGGGCCCCTTCTCCCTGGACTTATTCGCCTCCCGCAACAACCGTCAGACGAAGGACTTCTTCAGTTGGCTCCCAGATCCGGAGAGTCTAGCAACCGACGCGTTTCTGCAACAATGGCCACAACACGGGGCTTACGCCTTCCCTCCATTCTCGATGATTACGAGGGTTCTCCACCGAATCCGCAGGCAGAGGGTGATACTGACCCTCATCACACCTCTATGGCAAAGCCAACCATGGTTCCCGGATCTTCTGGAACTATCGAACAAGGATCCCCTCCTCTTACCAGATACTCCATCCATTCTCAGGAACCCGATGGGACTTCCCCATCCGCTGGTCCAGGAGGGCCGACTGCCCCTGGTGGCTTGGACTCTTTCAGGGGTTCCTGGCGAACCGAGGATTTATCGCAGGAAACTAGAGAGCTCCTATGGGACTCATGGGCGCCAGGAACAAGGAGGTGCTACTTATCAGCATGGCACTGCTGGACCACTTGGTGTCTGGGACGGGATCTCAATCCCTTTACGGCACCTATTCCCTCCATCATGAATTTCCTCACCTCTCTGTTCACAACCGGGAAGTCATACCGGTCCATCAACGTGATACGTTCAGCCATCTCAGCGGCTCATACGCCGATTCAAGGGACACCAGTGGGCCAGAACCCACTCATCTGTAGACTCCTCCGTGGCATGCGCCTTCGGCGCCCCCCGGAACCCAAATACTCGAGACTCTGGGACGTTGGCATAGTCTTACAGTTTTTACGGGACTGGCCCCCTAATGAGAACTTGTCACTCCGCCAGCTTACGGCAAAGTTCACCTTCCTACTCTGCCTAGTCTCCTTTCGTCGGGTGTCCGATGTACGCGCTTTCGATGCCGACGCATTTACCTTCTGCCCAGCGGGAGTAACCTTCCAGATCTCTAGACGCACGAAATCTGACTCTTCCTCTGTTTTTTACCCCTTTTTTCCCTCAGACCCACAACTCTGTGTGGTCTCTACTCTTCGTCGATATGTGGAAGCCACCGCGACGTTGCGGCCTACTTCCAATCGCCAACTTCTCATCTCTTACGTCCGCCCCTACGCTCCAGTCTCGGTTACTACGTTGGCCAGATGGGTTAGATGGCTATTAGCCCTCGCCGGGATAGACCAGGCTTTTGGTGCACACTCAGTCCGAGGGGCCGCGGCCTCCTCTGCCTACGCAGCGGGGGCCTCCCTTCCAGATATTTTACGAGCGGCGGACTGGACCAGAGAATCCACCTTTAGGACGTTCTATTTCCGTCCTCCATCTAACCCAGCTTTTGCTCTACTTACTCAGCGTTGAAATTGCAAAATACGAAGCCTCCTGTCATGTGATAAAATTGAAGATTATGCTAGCTTCAGTGTACAGATAATCTTAATTTTAATAATGACAGGAGGCGAGTATTTTCCCACCCTGCTCTCTTTCGCTCTTCCCCACCTCTGTCTTCATGTATATTTCTATCTCTTTATTCACATGTTTTTGTGCTAAATGCCTAAGTTGTCTTCTTACGATTAATACAGATATTTCATATGGGTGGGATGGCTTAGGTAGCATCAATAGATGGGTGGAATGTATTCGCTCTATTGCAGTATGATGGTTACTTAATCATAAGGGATAGACATCTTGTTGTTTTACACAACCATCTCCGGAATCTAATACCCTTTTACATTCTCGTTTCAGTTTAACCAGATGAATCAGGACACTGCAGACTTCCTTCAAGATATCATCATCATCTTGTCATGGAAGTTCGTCACTTGACACCAAGAACTCGTCCCTGTCAAGAATTCTTCATACGTTTATGTTCTATTTTCATGTTATACGTTATCTTTATTGTTTCTGCATTGTGATCTTGTGATGTCGCATGCTTTAAAGAGGAAATGATGTCATACGTTACACCTCTTATACTCTATACTGCATTGTGATTGGTTCTCAGTTATGTCACTCTTTTCTTTGCTGCTATGGAGTTAGTAAAGAAAGATTATGCAAAATACTCGCCTCCTGTCATTATTAAAATTAAGATTATCTGTACACTGAAGCTAGCATAATCTTCAATTACTTCACAGAATATCGATTGGATTGTATACGTCGCATCCAAATATGAAAAATAAAAATATATAATATAGTGCAGATTGTAGAACACTTGTGCAATTTAGGTGAGGTAGATAAATAGTTCACTCACATTTTCAAGAGCCTATATTATTGGCTCTGTAAACTGGACTGGTATGCTTTTTAGGGCAGCATCCCACCACTATTTCTTGTTGAAATTTCTCTCCGGGAAGGTAAAAACAATCGAAACATCCAATGTGTAATATAGTTGATTCAAAGATATTTTAAATAAAATGTAAATAGGTATTATGCACACTTCATATCTCCATGTGTTCCCCAAGCAAGGAACAGGAACAAACAAAAGAAAAGTTGGTGCACAATATAGTCTTGTCTCCCTAACTACTAAACACCTCAACTCAATTTTTCTTCTCTTTGAGCAGAGCACTGCACATTGCCGTAGTACATGGAAACATTCAAGCTGCCCAGTGGGTGATTTATCTTCTCCATCAGGGGCATAAAAACATGGACCCCGTCAACAATCTAAGGCAGGTAAGTGAGTGATCTGCTATAATAGATACCTTTATTCAAAGATTTATGGCTCCTAATTCAAGAAGCTTCCAATGCAAAAAAATAAAAATAAAAAATCTACTAGGCAAAACATACTACTTCCATCTACATCTCATAAAGGTTGACCATACATCTCATAAAGGTTGACAAATACGTTTCTCAGGTTCTCTGATTGCAATGTAATATAAGGCAAATCAACATATACAAATCTGTTTGATTGTAAACTACCTTTTTTTGTAAATACTAAAGTTACCAAAAATTCTACAACTCATGGGGTGGCCTGGCGGAGAGAGACAACTGATAGAAATGACATAGAGATAGATAGAGACAGAAGGACGGGGTCAGTAGCAAACTATAATGTCTAATAGTGAGGGCTGGCAATATTACATAAAGGCAGTTGGAGGGACTGAGACAAATAGTTATTCACTGAAGTTAGAATAGCTGGGAAATGGAAATGAAAGACACATTGGGAGACTGGAACAAGTGGAAAACACACTGAGATACTGACCTGGAAATGGGATGGAACAAAAACTAAGAGGCAGACATGGACTTAAGGTCAAGAACTTGGACTGAGAATGGCCAGTGAGAGAGACAAATAAGCTAGAAAAAGACAGAAATAGCATGGCACTATGACTAAAGCAAGGATATCAGAGGTTTTCAGTGTTTTCCAGCTTATCTCAGTCTGTCAGCGTACATGTCTTATTCCATTGTATCATCTTATTCCTGTCTATCTCTGGGCTGATCATTCATGTGATTGTGTGTATATATATATATATATATATATATATCATTTGTATATAATTTTTTATTCACGTTGCCTTCAAGTCTCAGTGCATGCTTTTATCTAAAATTACAACCTCTGCAGCAATGGAGATTAACACCAGTGATATGTATGGTAAACAGAGTTATCGCTTTCATTTCTCTTATTTATTTAAAACATCCATTTCCAGTAACTGAAAAAGTACACAATTTAGACGCAGTTATACAAAGACTTTGCCGGTAACTACACCCAAGGTAGTTTATATCCCACAATTACACAAAAAGTTCCATTATCTAACATTGATTTGTTTCTAGCTAAAAATTAACTTCCAAAATGCAAGCTAATATAGCCTAACTGGGAATGTTTTTCTAAAGCAGATATTTTGGATAAAATTTTGCATTTCTGTTTTGTATTTTATGCGTTTCACTGTTTAACCCCTTAACTCCTTAAGGACACATGACATGTGTGACATATCATGATTCCCTTTTATTCCAGAAGTTTGGTCCTTAAGGGGTTAAGGACCAAACTTCTGGAATAAAAGGGAATCATGACATGTCACACATGTCATGTGTCCTTAAGGGGTTAAATAAATTAACCCAAAAGGATACTACTTTAGCATGGGATATTTGCTGTGTTTCTCTGTGTCGTCTAGTAGAAATCAAACAGACACTCTCACAAGGATAGGAGTAAATCAGACTTATCACTCATCAAGAATATTCTCCTCCTTATAATCTTCAGCCTCTTCTAAGTTATGTAGAACTCATAAAGGTAAAAGGAAAATAAACAAAATAGTTTAGTAGACACTAGTAGTAGACACTAGTTCATTTACACCATATTCTAGACACGCATTCACTAATATAAAACTTTTGTGGGATCATCATGGGATCATTATGCAACAGATATCTATAATTATAGGATTCTAGAATTGCTTTATGTCTTATTTAATCACTCCTGTGAAACCTTCCCCATGAGTCTAATTATGTGCCACGATTAAAGCTGTGGGTGTCATATTTTAGCTATGAATTATTATTACTATATTATTATATGGTATTTATATATCACCAACATACTCCACAGCACTTTACATTGATAGAAAGGGAAGATTCTCTTTTCTTTCACACCTCTGCTAAAGCGATATTACGTTCATATTTTTGTTATTGTCAAGGCTTGGAGCTGTATAGAGAGGCAAGCCTTCAGGGTTGTTTCATATTGATGCAGAGCCCAGTTCATATAGCAGGGCTGATTCATATAAGGGGAATTTGTCCCTATAGGACGTACGTATTTGATTTGTCAATGGATTGAAGTTTTAACTGGAGCCGCAGGGTGATTTATTGCAGTTTCGAGGTGAGGTCTACCACGGAGAAATTACATTTTTACATTGACACAGTTTATTTTCTGTTAGTTTTGTCACAGAGTGCTTGTACTATGTAGATATTACATTTTTACTTTGACATAGTTTATTATTTTCTGTTGTTGCGAAAAGAAAGGGTTACGCCATATGAGCCTCCGTGTCTTGACATAAAATGATATACTGCTAACATAAGTTATTCAAGGAGCACTATAGCGTTAAGAATACAAAAGTGCTATAGTAGTCCTATTCCTACTCTCATTCATGCCCCTCTGGAGCATTAACATTTTAAAAACTTTAAGATTTCCCACGCGCTGCTTACCTCCCTGCCTTCTGCGCCGATGTCTGAACCAATGCTCATAGAGGAGCATTGGGGACCTAAAGCACATGTGTCTCTAGTGTTAGATGCACATTCAAAATTCCCCATAGGAAAGCATTAAATTACTTTACTCGGTCCGTTTTACTCGGTCCGTGCCGCAAACGTGCCTCTACAGGTGGACTTAACCCTGTACTGTAAACATTGCACTTTCAAAAACAAAAAACCCCTGCAATGTTTTACATTGCAAGGTTAAAAGGACAGGGACACTTCACCCAGACCATTTCATTGAGATGAAGTGGTTTGGGTGACTACAGTGTCCCTTTAATAGCGATTCATTCTATAGTTCTCCAGTTTAGATCTCTAAATGCTGTATATACAATCATGGGGAAAATCCTATGGTTTCTAAACAAAGGCTCCCTTCAGTTTTCAAAGTAATGATGCCAGGGTTATTCACTAAAATGAGACTTGTTGGTAATTCATGGAAAATTCAAGCAAATTTCAAATTTAAGACAAGAATAGTCGAACGTCCGTTATGCATTCAGTTCAGCTACATTGGTTTTAAATTTTAAATGCACTCTGAAGTCACTTTGAGTTCTTGTGAATTATCCCTTTAATAAATAACTCCATAGTCTTTAATAGATAACCACTGCAAATATGGCTATATCTCTTCATAGGATATCCCCATGATATCGCCTGTTATTGATTGCCCTTCTAATATTCTGATATTGGTGCAGTTAATGACCTCTATGTGCGCAAACTCCCCACCCCCACCCCTGTTGTTTTAACCCTGCAGGCTGCAGCTAAAAATATTGTAATTCTGCAGGTACAGCCATCATTTCATTGCATTGTTAGCTGCCTCTAGTGGTGGTCACACTGGGAACCACTAGAGGCAATTTTCAGCCAAAATTGTGAAGTAAAACACTATGGGAGAGTATTGGATTGGCTGAGATAATTCATTGTGATGATGTCAGACAAAGAGGCAGAGTGGAACGCAGGAAACATGTGTGACATGTCATGATTCCCTTTTATTCCAGAAGTTTAGTCCTTAAGGGGTTAAAAAGCTTGTTTTAAAACTGAAGGGCATATTTGTATACATTTCTGCTTACAGTGTTACTTTTTGATCAGTCCAGCAGTTTACATAACAGAAAATAAATTACAACAGCAGGTTTCATTCAGCCATAAACAGCTCTTCTCAATTATCATACTGTTACTTTTAAAGGGACAGGCCAGACCCATACAGAACTACAGCTTGTTGAATAGCTTTATGTGTGAAGAGTGTGTCCTCTTCTTTCATTTTGCAAAAACTGCAGATTTCATTTCAGATGTACCCCGAATGAAAGAATACATTATTAAATGCACACATGTTTTATTTGGGGTATATCAACTAAACAGTGATTTTCATTGTATTGTTTTATTTGGGCTTTGGAGTGGCTCTTAAAGGGGAACTATCCCATTGCACAGTGCTACGGAATGTGATGGCACTATATAAATAATAAAATAATATTAATAACTATGACTTCTCTGGTATTTACACCTTTGAATAAAACACTGAAAATCTCCAATAACTCATTCTTACCTTTTTTCACACGATGCTTCACTTTTTTTCAAATTTATGTTTGAGTTGCAAAAGGATATAACAAACCAGTTTTGACAAGGTAAAGCCAAAGAAACAATGCAAATAAAATGAGAGACAAAAAAAAACAAGTTTAATTTCTCCTCTTCATCGGATACTTTCCCCTGAGCTGACTGCCAGGTGTAAAGGACAGTTTTAATAACAATGATTGTGATGGAGCTAGGATGGAGGCATCTATTAGCAACGTGAAGTGCTGCGGATTTCTGCATTTAAATTTTATTTTTCACATCTTGCAAATATGTATTTGTTAACTCTAGGGATAACTAAACATAAAAGTGACAGTCCCCATTGAAACCCCTTGTAGTATTCTCTGTGGTTGCTAGAGAAGAATGTTATACAAAGTTTATAGCAGAATGCAAACCTGGTATCTTTTAGGAACATGAATTTGAAATACCCATTTGTATCTGTTTTTTTTGTGATCAAAATAATGAAATCAAGTGGGGGCTCGTTGTTGCCAGAGAGAGAAAAAAAGCATGTGAGGCCACATTTTAAAGCATTGATTACTTCTAATGCTTCATAAAATATCTTGTTAAAACTCCAAATATTGTCATATATTTGTTCTGCCAGGTGTAAAATCTCTTTATAATTAATTTCATGACTTCATATATTAACTTTTAACCACTTACAGCTATGCAGACTAATCCCAGAGAGTTAACTTCTACTCCCATGAATCACCGCCAGCCAAAAACTAGCTAGCGGCCATCAAACAGCAGGGCTTATAAACACACTGCATGTATAACTATGTAAAACCGTTTACTATATCTATTTTTGTAGAGCTCCCCCCACTCTTGCGTTTGCATTTACGGTCACATTTTTTGCTGGAAGTCATGTGACTAGGGATTTCCCCTTTGTTCTGATCCGTGTACTTCCTCCTGACCCCTCCTTTATCAGGGCTAAAACGTAATTGTGCTGAGATCCTGTAACACACAAAAACCACATGTCTGCAAAGTGAACATACAAAAATATACATTGTTTTCACAAGCCGATCAGAGAACCTGGGCCCGGTGGCAAAGTGAAAAACTGGGTCACCTCCACCGAAGTCACCTCTAAAACTAATAAAGATGTACTTAGATATCAAATCCTGTAGTATATGAAAACGTAATTGTATATGAAAAACGTGAGTAGAGCAAGGGGCAGAACCGGCATGCCGTCTGTTTAGTAGTGAGTCAGTAGTGCTTGATTTAAAGAAATTGAAGTTGTTATGGTGCCTGAAGTCGCAGGCGATGTGTCCTGAATGTTAGATGTTTAGCAGAGATTCTCAGTCTCCAGCAGCCTGGAGCCTGGTCGACAATGACAATATTGCAAAGGCATAGTAATGCTGCACTTCACACTTATGATCAGTTAAAGGCTGAGAGCATCAGCCTATCACTGCCCTATCCCTGGTATGAATTGGTATGGTGTGAGGCAAAGCATAACTCTGCCTTTGCCATATCAAATTTAGGGGTCAGGCTGCAAGCTGCTGAAAACCGAGCATCTCCATTTTTAATTGGTGAGCAAACTGCAGCACCAAGTGCCTGTCCGCTCCAGGCAACATAACCACTTAAATCCACTGTAGTGGTTATGGTGTCTACAGTGTAATTCAAATTAAAGCTTACACATTTGAATGATCACCCTGTAAAATAGGGACGTTTAAACAGCTCCATTTTAAAGGGATCCTATAGTGCCAGGAAAACAATCCCGTTTTCCTGGCACTATGATCTCTTGGAGTGCCCCACTCCTTCGGGGGCCCCTCCCTCAGCGCCCTTCAGCCACTAACCTTAATCCAGCGCTGGTGATTTCTCCTCCCCCGCCGATGTCAGTTTCTGAGTGGAGCCAAATGCACATGCGCGACCAGAGGCGCGGGCATTAAAACCCGCCCATAGGAAAGCATTACTCAATTCTTTCCTATCAGGATCTTTTTTTACTCTGGAGGTCCGCGAGGACTTCCAGTATCAAATAAGTGTGATTTACTCAGTGTAAATCGCGGAAGCGCCACTAGTGGCTGTCAGGAAGACAGCCACTGGGGGCTGGATTAACCCTGCAGTGTAAACATAGCAGTTTCTCTAAAACTGCTATGTTTTCAGCTGCAGGGTTAAAACTTGGGGGACCTGGAACCCAGACCACTTCATTGAGCTGAAGTGGTCTGGGTGCCTATAGTGGTTCTTTAAGGGTGAGCATTCAAATGATGCTGTGTTTGTTTGAGTGTCACAAAAAAAGATGCTGCTTTGAAAAGGACACTGCTAAAGTAAGTTTAGGGTTAGATAAATTTAAATTTGTGCTAGTATTTTAGGATTAAGGAAGTTTAGGGTTGGCTTAGCGTAGCAACTAGGGAGGCTAAAGGTTTTGGGGGTGATTCTGGTTAGGGTACTTCGAAGAACATATGGTGGTAATAGGTAACTACTTTCAAACTGATGTGGATTCTAACTCCCATGATTTTCAAATCGGTATCCTCTGTGTAATACAAAAGAGGAAATAGGAGATCTGTAGCCTCAATGGAACCTTGTTCACTATGTTAGGAGGAATGAGATAGATATATGATGCAAGCTAGCTCCTTCTATATCCTCCTCCCCCAGGGAAGGTATGCTGAAAGGAAGCAAAAAATGAGTATAAGGTGCCCAACCTTATTGTATTACACAATTTTATGATCAATACTTATGTCATACAATCTGCTACAGAGGGAAATATTTCACAGTTTTGAACAGTGTGTGATACATATGAGTAACTTTAACAAAACACGTTAGACAAACAGGAACAAGAAGTAACGTATGCTTTGTACAGACATGCTTATAGGCTAAAGGAAGTGGGATATGATTGCAGAAAAGGTATAAAACACAATGAACCATAAAGGGGAGGTAGATTGTTACACATATTAATAATATACAATAATTATATAAACATGTGACTTCAGAAAGTAGCAGAGCAAAAAGTGTAATAAGAGATGAGACTGTTAATTTCCTAAAATTACTAATCACCTTTAAATTCAGTCTTCTAAAACGACTCTTTGTTGCCGGTACAAAATGTGTTCCTGGTGTACGAGAATTAAGTTGTGTGAGGTGAGAATGGGGTGAATTGCTGTAATGAGATGTATTAAATAGATATGTTCCCTAAATAAATAAAAAAGGGGTTTTAAGGAGTGGTGGAAGGTCTGATAGCGAGGAGAGGCATTCCATTAGAATGAGGCATTCTTCTAAAATTTCACGTAGGAGACAATTGCAGGTGAGGATGCATACAGAGGGCAGAAGAAAGCTGATAGCAGACCTACAGGACCAGGGTAGATTGTATGTGTTAAATTGGAGACTATAGATCATAGTGCACTATTTGTTGGAGCATTACAATCGTAGATTTAAAATTTAAAGAGAATAAGTGTAAGAAGGGAAGCAGACAAGGCATATATGAATTCTCCCCAAAATATAGATGTGTATATATAGAGCAGTGGTTTCCAAACCAGTCCTCAAGACTCTTCTACCAGTTCAGGATTTAGGTATTACCCAGTTGTGTCTAAGGTTTTTTTTAGAAGAAGAAGAAAAAAAAACACATTAGACACAACTGGGTATGGGCGCCTTGAGGACTGGTTTGGGAACCACTGATATATAGTAATTATAGTGATATGTAGTAATTATAGTAACAATTACAATTATTTACATAGCACCAACATATTCTGCAGCGCTGTAGAATAAATAAGCAAAACTAACAATAAATTCGAACTCAAACAAAACATGATTGACATAATAGGTGCTTACAGTGTAATTGTAATGTCATCTGTAGGGTTAGGGGAATAAATATTCCAGTAAAGGTACACCTGTACTTGTGGTGCTGTGGACCGTGACACCTGGCATGTCTAGGAGTGATTGGAGTTACAGTCCAAAGTATCAGTTTTGTGCACAAAGTTAAGGGGCACACCCGTACAGTGGTACTCTGACGATATGGGGGCATTATGATACTACCATAGAGGTCGTGATAATGATGTGTTGTCTTTTCACAGCAGCTGCATTACAGCGTCACTATAATGACGCTCAATTATTTTTAAACTCACCATTTTGAAGATCCTGTGTCGATTATCAAATTCATTGCAATTTCATAACAAATGCAGTTGGGGTTATCCATTATATTGAGAATTCACCTGTCAGCAAGTCAAAGTGAATTGAAACGTTTAAGCTAAAATTACTGAACAGAGAACGTAGACAGTTATACATTATTACTTGGAATTCATCTGAATTTCCTAAAACTCACACTTTAGTATTCGTAATATGTGTGGACGCCCTGTGTTCTAGTTACATTTTCTGCAACCTGTTGTGTTATGCTGACCATACTAGTGCTTTAATCAGAGAGACTTATAAAAGATGTATCCTGTGGTACACTGATTTCATTACAGTATAACCATATTCATGACTCATATAAATCCCTAGCTAATGTTACAGTATATGCACCACTGATCCTTATCTGCCTTGCTTCTGCAACTGATTATATAAAATTGTATTTACTTTTTATAACCTTGTATTTCTTTCCATTCACTATTTCTGTGTTTCTTTCCTTTAGTTTTACATCTTTTAGTCTCTCCTACTACGACTTGCACATATATACCTCATTACCTTTTATTCCCCGACACACATTATTTGCACTGTAGTCATCAACCTACCTCAAGTGTGTTTTCACTGTAATTCTGCCGATCCATTTACCTTACATTAACAATCTCATCTTCTTCTTTCTTCCTATCACAGACACCCCTACATCTTGCAGTAATCACTGACCAGCCGGACCTGGTCTCTCTCCTTTTGTCAAATGGATGCTCGCCAAAAATTCCAGATCGCAATGGACAGACGTGTGTTCACCTAGCGTGTGAAAATGAAAGTATAAACAGCTTGCGAGTGTTGTTAAAAGGGGGAACGTGGGATCCAGATGCAACAAACTACCAAGGTATGAAAATATACACATGTACAAGCACTTACCTTATCCTTTTCATTGTGGTAGTATTGAGAGATGTAAAGCTTGAGGTTCACGTTTCATAGCCATTAAGCATGTCTGGACAACTTTCTAAAACAATTAATCTTGAAGGACAACATATTTTCTTGTAGTTAATTTCAGGGAAACATTAAGGACTGAATTCTCTTAGCAGAGTACGGTTTTAGCCTACTTACTGAATAGCAGTTCAACCTTAGAAATTAATGGGAAGATAACTATTCGGTAAGAAGATTAAAACCTTACTCTACTAAGAGAATCCAGCCCTAAACTGATGTATGGTATAGAAAGCATTCTACGAACATAAGTTGTAGGACCAGATAAGGTTATACTATTGAATACAAAAAAATGTAATAAAATAGATTTAGCGCTAATTAACCAAATAAGACAGGGCAGCAAACCAAAAAGGTTTCCCTTCAGAAAATCAACAGAAATAAACAGAGAAAGAGAGGCTGCATCACAAGAATACAATTAAATACTATTACCAGTGATCAAAACATGATATGTGTGAATAAATAATATAGTCCAAAAAAAGTCTTAAAATAGAAATACCCCTTTAAATGAATTGAAGTTCAGTATGAATTCTTGGGTAAGTGGTACATTTTTGTACCAGAAAGTAGGATGATAAAAGTATGATATGTTTCTTAGTAAAGTCCGTACATATATGTAAAACAAGATATCAAAAATCCAATAGTGCAATATATCAACTTAAACATGGTATATGTAGTAAAACAGCTGCAGCTTACTCACATTTAATGGAGCTATGGCCAACTCCAGTTTTGAAAGCGTACAATGGTATTATCCCCTCTTACAGGATATGTGGGTGAGTGCCCGTAGGAGAAAAGGTATCGTAGAACCCAAAATGACAAAATTTAGAAGGAAAATAATAGTGCTCTCTTTTGCAATAAAAAGTACTAAAATAAGAGTAGCTATTAGTTGGCCGTTTTGAAACGGGTGCTCATAAATCTCACAATTGTGGTTTTATCAATATGTTGCAGGTTACAAAAAGTACAATAACAACTTTGGGCACTGTATCTAACCTGGATAACACTAGCTGGATAAGATATCTGCAGATTAAAAATAGCTCAAACTTCTTAATAGTATAGATCTTCAGGATTCTTCAAATAAATACAGATTTCTTATTAGAATTCCAATTGTTCTATTGAAATACCAGGAGTATTTAGCTGCCATAGTCAGATTTATGTGCCCTCCTTCCCCCATACACCTTATCACTCCCAAATGTACCCAAGCCACTTAAAAAACACATTTGTAATATGTGCAATGGGTGTAATATAAATGCATTTGTATGTGAGTAAACGTATCAGGATTTTGTACCAAAGTGAGAATTGTGGGGAAATCAAAGTCCATTTCTAATGTAAGGTCAACATAGGTAAGTACTAAACATTCTCCAAGTCAGATTTGGTCACTTTGGTCTTAAATTTCAAATTCACTTTGAATTCTCCACAGTTATCACTTTAGTAATCCTGAAGTGTGCATACATAGCTGGAGCTAATAAAGCTTATTAGCCAAACACATACACTAGTTGGGCACACACTGTCTCACACACTTTTAATTAAGCACACACGTCACCATGCTATAATTTGCCTTTCATATACCTGCTGCAGTATGCTGTATCATGCCAATATGATTGGCTGAATTAACCTAGCCAATCATATTGCTGTTCTGTTGTAATGTCCTGGGGGTGGGAGTGAGTGGATGGGCGATAGTGACTTCCCATTATTTTATTAGTCCTCGTACTGCCTTTTGGTGTCAGTAAGCGCAAGGCTACCTTTTTACTTGGTCCCTCGCAGTAGTTTGTTTATTTAATGTTATAGAGTTTTATTTAACATCTCTGCAGATCTGGCTGAAAAGCAAAGATAGTCTGCAACTGTTATAGACTGGAGATAATATATTTTATCAGTGTTAATAAATATCAGAATTCCATACTTTGTATAAAATGTGGATGAATTCTCTGCAAGGTTTTTAGAAGACACCAACATGCTCTAAACAGGAAATGTACACTTAGTACAATTTCCAGAACTAACCCCTGCATTGCCTTTAGTATATGTGGAATGGGAATTCTAGGGAAACTTTAGGGATTTTCACAGAATATGGAAAACATGGGGTCTCTTGGCAGTTTAGTAAGTGATCTATTCACTAAACTCTGAATTGTAGCAAATTAAAATCTGAGTGGAACACTGTATGTAGATATAACTGATTTGAAGAAATTATCCAATTCAACTACAGTCACATCACAGCCTTTATAACCTTTATTTTGCCACTCAGGTTTCAATTTGCTACAGTTCAGAATTTAGAGACCAACCCTGTAAATGCCATGTGTTGCTGCAATAAAGGAACACTCCAAGTACCATATGTAGTAGTTATGGTGCGCAGGAGTGTCGTGGCACTCTTCCAGTGTAAGTAGTTAAACCGTTTGCTACTTACCTGGGGTCTGCTTGTTAGAGCAGGCTTGGGAGTGTTAATTGAAGCTCCATGCAGGAGCTTCCAGCTTTTGATGACAGAGATGACTGAACCCAGGTAATCTGTCAAGCTGTTATAAACAGGTTGACTACTTACATTAAGGGGGGAGGGCCTGGGTACTAATGACACCATAACCATTACAGGGCTTCGTATTAGTTATGGTGTTACAAGTTTTCCTTTAACTATGCCATTATTGAAAACTACCACACTCCTTGTAAACAAAGTTAAAGTTGAGACGTGAACATTCCCAGCCTTTTCATCGCAGAGCATTGCTAGTACTTTAAGTAAAGCTGTTTCTGTAAACCCTCTTCCTTCCTTGTCTGTTGCATAAACAAACACAGCCTTACTTAACCTCATTCATGTTTTTCAATACCATAGTAGCAATTAGGAATGCACGTGACAGTGCTTTGCATCACATGCAAACTATCTCACGATTCTATTTAATATAGGGTTGTCAGATCCATAATGTTTTTCATGGATGATGTCTCTTATACATATACAAAGAGAAGGCTGTCATGCTGTATGCAAAATGAAGAAACCCTAAATCAAATTAATTCTACATAATGCAGGTCAACACTTTTAATGTGTTGCTCAACATGAAGGTGTGATATGTGTCCAGGTAAACATTGTGATGGCGACCTTAAGTGAACTTGTGCAGATCTAGGCTGTGTATAATGCAAGAGAGGATTATAAATATTTTATTGGACATTTTATCTGGATTCTGCATTCTATCAAGGGATGCCTGTTCCACGCACCGCCTAAACTCCCAGATTTAGTGGGACTGTCCTGATTTCACCATCCTAGGTTAATATAGGACAACAGGAAACTGACCCCAGCAAGTGCAATGCAAGTACATCAATATACTCATTCATGCTGTGCTGGTCGCTGTGTGGGGACATTTACGTTCTTTGGGCATCCCCCCTTTACAGTGATGCCATCAGCACTCCCCCATAATTCCACTCACCACCTGTCCAGATTTCATATCTCTCATTGTTGAGAGGTATAGATTCAAAATGTATATGGAATATCAAATCTAATGATATATGAGATCTGTACTCCGTTTCCATCTGTCTACTGAACATAAAATGTTGTCTGTAGATGTTTAATGTTTTTAAAGTTGTATGCATATGCAAAATAGTTTGGAATCTTTGTAGGTGATTCCATTTAACTAAACGTCTGTTTTTCTGTTGTTCCCCAGGTATGACTGCATTACACATAGCAATCAGTACAGGACGCAGAGATGCCACTCAGTGTTTACTGGATAATGGAATGGACGTTGACGCTGTGGTATGATCCTACTGAACTGCTGTACTGACCAGGCAGCCTACCATCAGAATGTCTTACTGTGCGACACATACTGATAAATTGTAACAGCGCATGTCACTCAGTAACTACATTTTGTGTGTGTGTGTGTGTATGAATAGACAGACAAGTAGATAAAATTATATACAATTATATACATCCACAAGCTTTCAGGGTTATTTACTAAAGTGTGAATCGTTGGAAAGTAAATTTCAAATTTTATGCCAAAATAGCCAAAAGGAGGATTTTTCCAGCTTAACTATTGCAGCAGATCGGCCAAGTCACATGGTGCGCCATGTGACATCCAGTTTTTTTCAGTCTACCCGATCACTCAGTAGACTGAAGGGAGGACTGAAGAAAAATGTAGAACATGCTGATGTTTAACTGCAATCGCAATGCACTTGACCTGTTTCAGGGCTGTTAAACCCATAAGTAAGAGCTTCAGTAGTGCTCGGCATATGGAAAACCCTGATTGGCTGGTCTGTCATTCTGGTGGATATGTGCCACATCAATTGTGTCTCAGATGGATCCTCCTCTGGTTCTACCATGGTTAGCAGATCTAAAGTTTTAAATTCAATTTGAATTTCTTTCCTGTCCACCTTTCGTGACAAAGGGGAGGACACTGCCCATGAAATTGGCCCAACAGACTGCCCCATAAAGGCAGACCAGGCACAGAGCTTTGCTTACGCACTTCATGATCTTAGTGCCCTATCCCTTCCAGATTTGAAATTCTGGACAGATTTTGAAGTACAGGGCAAGTCCCACATTTGCAGGGCCAATATTAAAAAATGACCACTTCAAATAACTTTCATGTATAGGTATTTCATAAATTCAAGCCAGTCATAAAATACATAACAAATTGAGCCATCTATTTTATGTTTTGGAATTTGCAAAGTATGACATCCTTAAAAAGTTAACTTTATATTGTTATTCACTAAAATGAGATTTGTCAGGAAATAAAGGAGAATTTAAAGTGAATTTCAAATTTAGGGCCAGAATAGATGAATAAGAAAAAAAATCTCTAATTCAGCTGTGGTTTTAAGTTCGGCTAAATTGGTCTAACATTTGAAATTCACTTTGAATTCTCTTCGAATCCTCGAAAATTCTCACTTTGGTAAATAACCCTGAATATCATTTTGCTTCTGATAAAACCTATGGGTATTTGCAGTGTTTTATTACACACAGTAGTGAGAAATAATATAAAATCTGGCTGGGACTGTACCTTCTGTCTGAGTGGCCAATTGGTTTCTCTTCAGATAACAAGGTAGTTGTGTATCCAGGTGTTGCAGTATATATTATCCTCAGAGCAAGAAAGTTGTCTCATACTTACAGTATTTCATTAGTTACCACACTGTATTTCAAACTATCTCAGTAAGCGGAAAAATCAAATCACACAGACAAGTCAGTTTAGAGTCCTTGTGTGAACCTGGATTTGCAGAGAGAGAACTTTAGCTGTCAATTCAATTTATTTGGAGGGACCAACTCTGTAACCTATGTATAATAAGGATGAATTGTGTTTCAGCAATCATATCTCATTATTGCATTACCATGTATTTTACCAGGAAATAAAAAGTGGCCGAACGCCCCTAATCCAAGCCGTGGAGAATGGGTGTGAGAATCTAGTATGTCTTCTCCTCCAAGTGAGTGATATTATGGTATTTTATGTACAGTTGTATGGCTATGGTGACAAAACAATAATACTAATGAAATGCAGAAAAAGAGATATCTTGGAAAGTCCCTGTGCTTCGGATAGGAAGGGAAATGTTGTGGTGGTTTCTGGGATGAATAAATTCAAATATGATGAGCTGGTTAGTCGAACTGGCAGACTAACCTCAATTGTATTAAAGGGACATTGTAGACACTTTAACAATTGCATCTCATTAAACTGATTATTGTGCCCGGAGCACTCTGGCACTGCCCCTCTATTACATTCCAAGACGTTAAACACTGGATGAGGGTCCCTGGCTTTCTATAGCCCAGCTCCCACTGGAGGTGTGGCTAAGGCAGCGATCACACACTTCCTTGTATTCTTAAGGATTTATGCCTGCAATGGCACTGTGATTGGCTGAAAACAATCAGCTGACACTCTCAACCAATCACAGCCAACCACTGTTGCTCAGACTAATACTTCCTGGGTACACTTGTATAGCAATATATCATTAAAAAAATGTTTAATGCTGAATCAGAGGGTGTTGCAAATGGACTCCAAACACTGTAGCCAATTTGATAAGATGAAGCAGTTGCAGTGCCCACAGTGTACTTTTAAGTGCACATAACTCCAATGGGCATTTTAATAAAAAAAATGATCTTGGTAAGAACTTATTGAGCATATTAGTAGAAATATCTCCAATATACCATCTCTGGACAGATGTCAATTTGAAACAAATATTCACTCCTTTGTTAATCCATAACAAGGAAGGGCTGACACGTTTTATTTGCCTGTGGCTAGTACTAGCAAATGGCCTTTTCTTGCATACTAAATTCACTAATCTCTGTGTGCATAGTCCAACCTATGAGGTACTTATTTCAGATAAAGTCTGTTGACGTTGTGTCAATGCTGGAGCTTCTACCGAGGTCTCTGCACACCTAAGAGACACACACAGTGAAAATTCTAAGTGAATTCATAGTGATTTTCAAAATTAAGGCCAGAGTAGTCAAACTGAAAGCATAGCTAATTTTTCCAGCTCAGCTATTTTAACCTTAAATGTAAAATTCACTTTGAATTCACACTCTAGTAAAAAAAAACCTTACGGATTTTGTATTCTGCAACTCCATCACCACCAATGATGTCCAGTATGCATTATGGATGTGATAAGCACTTTCCCATCTCTTACCAACACCTTTAAAGACACCATACATACTTATCATAGCCTCACAACTTGGTTAATTCCAGATATTGCAGTGTCCTGGGAAAATATTCCATTAGGCTAGTCCAGGCCTGGGAAACTAGGGAACAGTAAGAATGCAGGTCATAAATGAGTAATGCAGGTCAAAGTGCCAGACTAGGAAAGGTGCTAAATATATGTTACTTACTGTCTCCTGGAGAAGGATGTGCATCAAACTATTTAAATCTACAAATAAATATTTGTATTTAAAAATCCTCGTTTTCTAGTGATCCAATGTGCAATTACCCCCTTCCACCCTTGCCAGCCCACTTGGGCCATTTAACAATTTAATAAATCAAATCTCTAAATTTCCTGTTAATTCTGTTGTTACGATTCCACTTGCTACTCTATTCAGATGATCTTAAATAGATTTGGATGGACGGGAGGTTTATTATTTAATTCAATCTGGAAATAAATGCAAAGGAGTAAATTATTCTGATCTTAGAGAGTACAGAATGTATTAACTTGTGACTTTGGTGCATAAGGTGTTTTTTTGGTAACTCGATGTCAAATGTTATTACCACAATGTTACTTACACATTGTCTGTTTGATATTTGGCTTTTCTGCAGCGTGGTGCTCAAGTCAATGCACAAACATATGCAGGCAACACAGCTCTGCATGTGGCCAGTGGACGTGGCCTTGAAGAAATTACACGAATGCTACTACGGAGTGGAGCAGACAGTGGAATAAAAAACTGCCATAATGATACCTCAATAACAGTCGCAAAGAACCGAAGGGTAAACACCATTTTGGTGGCCATTCCTTGTGTGGCCATTCCTCTTTCAACTCTGTGTCTCTCTCACCTTTACTCTAATTCATTAAATGACCCCTGAACCTTATTTACTAAAGGTTAGAACATGGGACTTTTGCACAATATTTCATTCAGAACATCACTTCTGATGCAGGACACTGGCAAATCGCACCTTTTATTGTGAGCTATGTCAAATCTCTGTGTAGACAGCCCAGCGTCATTCTGACATGAATACACATGTACATTCTGGGCATGCAGGAATGATGTAAACCAATCTGCAGGCAATACAGCTTATATAAACCTTTCACACGCCTCAGCACATAGCCCAGCTGTGGTTCCTACTTCATACACTTTTTGTTATTTGACCCAACTTGTCTTGTTGAACCTATTATCCGACATCCCCTGACTTGGACAAACCTACTGTTTGTGTGATTTCTGTATTCCTTGACCTCAGTTGCATTCTGACCTTTCTCTCTTCTTTAAGCCTAGCTATAGACACCACATTAAACCCGGCCATCCTAAAGACCGGTGGCCATCTTTCTTTTTTACAACTTTACTTAGGATAGTCTTAGTTTCAGATTCTGCATGTTGGGTCCTCTTCACTTTTTGACAGTAGGTTGTAATGTATGTATAATATTAGTTATTGCAATTCTAGCAACCTATTTATTTTTATCAGATTACAGATATCCTACGTGGTAAATCCTCCTCTCCGCGGAATCAGTATGATAGACTCACCGATGAACACAGCGACAGCTCGCTTACCCTATCACCACAACCGCCACAAGTGAAAACACCCAGTTATATATCCGTAAGTCCTCCACCTGGAAGACAGGCAACTCCATTACTGTCCCTACCTCAAAAAGATACATTAAGACATATCAAAGTACCTGACTTATCTCCAGCAATTAATGGGTCTAGCCAAAGACAGTTTGGTAGAGTCCAATGTGAGGAACAGACATACCAATGTACAGGGGAAAGACATTAAATTAACTGCAGCTATACATGCTAATAAGATGTTCAGAGGGTGTTTTAAGAACTTTATTCAGGGATGTGGGCAATTCAATGCCATCGTCATGTATACCTTATGGAACATGCCCGGGAACCTCCAATCAGCAACAACAGAGGATTGTGGTTACAAAAAAAAGTAGAATAAAATAAAAGTTCCATCATTCTCTTTAACATGATGTAATGAGGCAGGTACCAAGCAACAACCTACCATCTACCTGAGAAGACATATACACACACATGTTTAAGTGAGAATCTACTCTACAGTGCCGCGACTGCATGACGAGAAATCCAGATTATTTTTAGTCTGTCCATCACAAGTTTGGGATTCGTATAGATGGACATCTATGGAAACTAACCTAATTCTGAAAGTGTGCATTACTCCGTGGATGCATTAATAGAATTGCTTATATGCGATAAACTGTGTAACAAAACTATTGAATAATGTATTCAAGATGTATGGATATTTTATAGGATGAGTATGTTGAAAAACTCAGAAAGATGACACAAAAGTAATCGGTTTAAAGGTGTCAAGCTCGTGTTACTGTGTTAACATGAGACCCATCTATCATATTCTCCTTCCCGATTGTTAAATGGTGCTAGTAAAGGCCAGCAAACAATGAGAGTATGTATTAAGAATAAATGAAACATTTCATCTTTTCTAATGAGGTTGCAATTCCTTCTTGAATTATTGTATATCCTCTGAAATTCCACGTCCCATCCCAAAAAATGCCAAATAATCAATTTTGGGGCAAATTTCTAAATGTTATTACATTTGCATGTAGTTGTTACAGTTCTAGAAATGTCCCCCAAAATTGCTTTCTACAAATGTGTCTCTCTAGGTGTTTATTCACTAAAACACGAATTGCACAATTGAGACCAAAACAGATGAGCAGGAAAAATGGCTGCATGGGAGATTTTCAACAACATGGCTGTTGTTGCCTAACTCCTGCATTTTGGTTGTCGATTTAAAAGGTTGCAGTATTACGTGAATAAACACCTGAAAGGATTACACCAAGCATCATGACCACTTCATCATTATGAATATGTCATAGTGCAGGGAGTCTGTATGTGCAGTGTTTCACTATGGACATGCAGAGATATTTAATCAAGCTGCCACCTCTGGCAGCTGTGATCCAGTATGTCCAGAACTCTATCCCGGGCTGACTAATCTGAATTCATGTTGCTGTTTTAAATTACATCTTGTTTGCATGAATTGTTATTACTAAGTCACGTTTCTCAGAACAGCCCCACCCTTGACCACTATCCTACTCACTCCCCTAAAATTGTATATTTGAAATGTTGGTTGGTATGCTATAGTATGTACGCATATATATATATATATATATATATACATATATATACCGCCTTTCCCCGAAAATAAGACCGGGTGTTATATTAATGTTTCCTCAGAAAAAAAATTTCGGGGGATGTCTTATTTCGGGGAAAAACGGTAGCAAGCATGTGCTATGAAGCGGGTCTACATTCGCAGAAGTTCGCTAGACTAGTTCACTAGGGCATGGAATCCCGCGAATCTATGTTTGGGGAAACTTCCCCGAACATAGATAAGCTTACTCACGAATGGAATTCCGCAAATCTGTTCGGGGAAAATTCCCGAACATAGATTAGCAAACTAGCGACTAGGGCTTATTTTCGGGGATGTCTAATTTTGTGGGGAAACAGGGTATGTGTGTGTGTGTATGTGTATATATCTATATCTATCAGTTTTGCTTATTCACAACTCAATGTTCTTTGCATCAAAAAAGAATAGTTCTTACATTTGAAGTGTGTACTTTATCGTGTGTCAACATTTTTAATCTACACAAAGCTTAATGATGACTGTTAAGCACCAGAATGAATGATGACCCTATCCCTTATCATTTAATGTATGCTTCAAGCAGTATGGTGGTGGGTGCATTATGAAACAGGGTGGTGGGTGCAGTGTGCGGCAAAGCTGCGGACCCATTGTGAGTTTGGCTGGTCAGACCTCTATAAATTCTGTAAGTTATTTAATATTTTTTTACAATAAATATTTTTGTACTAAACTGAGACAATGTTTGTTAATTTTTATGGGGGAAATTGCCATTTTGCTGATAATAGGAATAAAATGTCTGGATTTACTTTGAAAATGTCAACATTAACATGTCACCATCACCATAGAGTGGCCTATTGAGACGTGGGTAACTAATTGTAGTATAGTTTATAATAGGCATACTTACAAATACTGAAATGGTATAGCAGTTATTTCCCTGTAGTAAGTTTTGGGTCCGTTTTGGAGTTTAGGATTACAGTTAAAGGGTGCTAAAAGTAAGGGGGAATTAGGATGGGTTAAAACGGATTTAGGATTAAAATGTACTAGGTATTAGATTTTGGGGGTTATATGCCTTCAAACTCGCCAAACTCTAATGTTACCATGGTGACATCATAATTGTAAACCGCATTTCTAATTTCTTAATGGAGTTATTTCAGTACCACAAGAACACTTTAAACTCTGACAATGTTTTAAAGTGGTGCTCTAGACACTATAGCCACTTCATCTGTAGATGTTATCGTGCATGGATTCCACTTGTCTGTCCACTGTTCAATATTAAACCATTTTCATATGGTTTAACAGAGATATGAGGGTACCAGCCAATAATGTCTCCACTTAACAATTGAGGTATGGATAAGATAAAATGTAGCTCTGCATTAGCCATACCAATTCACACCATTCATGGAAGGCAGTGATAGTCTAAGGGAGCATTTGTCTCCACAACAGAGATGGTCCTGCAGGTCATAAACCATTGACCATATGAAACCATTTGAAAACACTGGACCATGGGGCTGCAGGGGACTCCATGCACCATCAACACGTCAATACAAGTAAGTGGTCATGGCAGGTAGAATGTCCCTTTAAATGTGTATATAATGACTCAAGACATTTATTTTACAGAATAATGATGAGGCTATTGCTATTTGTGGCATTTACAACTATGCAGTGGAATTATACTGCCAATTAATTTTCTATTTGGTAGTGGTGATAGAACAAATGTTTCTAGATTGAAGTCTGAGTTCCTTTCTTGCACATATAGTCATTTGGTTTAGATATATAGTCTGGGATTTCCCAAGTATGTAATTTGGTCAAAATTTGGTTCTTAAAGAAGAACTAAATAGCTTCTTCTTTGCTGCAGAGACAGCTGCTGCTGAAAGACAAAACACAATATTCACATACTTACAAATACAAATACCTTGGTCGCCTCTAAAGACATGCAGTGCACAAATTAACGGTTTAGTCTAGGCACCATAAACATTTTGCAAACCACATGATGCTTAGACCACCCTGAAATCACTCTTACTTCTGGCTTAAAGTCACTGTTACAATAAGACAGCCCACTAGAGTTTTCAATCAGGCAGGATGGATATTTCCTGGTTTCTTTATTACAATTTCCTGTCTATAGTTTGTACACTGTGTGCATGGTACACAACCTATTGCAAAACACAGCCTGATTCCCTATGCAAGAGCTGCATCATATTTCTTCTGAGTTTCAAATACATGTCTCATCATTCTATGAGATTATTGGAACTGTGCGTAGGGGATAAGGTCTGTCCATATATACCAGAATGAGATGCTACTCATCGGATTGCCTCATCGTGGTGTGACATTAGCTCTGCCAGCAGTTGAATGTAGACCAACTAAGCAGTGCAATGAGGAACAATGTCAAGTTAAGTAATTGGTTTTATTTATTTTTTTAATTAGATTTTTTTCAAAATGTATAGACATAGACATTGAAACATAGACATAGACATAGAAACATAAACATAGACATAGACATAGAATGTGACGGCAGATAAGCATTTGGCCCATCTAGTCTGCCCAATTTTCTAAATACTTTCATTAGTCCCTGGCCTTATCTTATAGTTAGGATAGCCTTATGCCTATCCCACGCATGCTTAAACTCCTTTACTGTGTTAACCTCTACCACTTCAGCTGGAAGGCTATTCCATGCATCCACTACCCTCTCAGTAAAGTAATACTTCCTGATATTATTTTTAAACCTTTGTCCCTCTAATTTAAGACTTGTCCTCTTGTTGTGGTAGTTTGGTATTATACATAAAATATGTCATAACTATAGTGTAAATGATTGACTAATCCCTTAAACTCCATGAAGATCCTCATAACATCCTCACCTTCATAGACATGCTATAACATTTTCCCAACTACGGAGCACAAACTGACTTCAGACAGAGCATAATAACTCCATCACTGCTATAAAATTACGGAACACTAACAGGGTTATTTACTAAAGTGAGAATACCAAGTGAACTGAAAACATGGCTTACTTAGAGAATGTTTCCAGTTTGACTATTTTACCTTAAATTTGAAATTAATTTTGAATTCATCTTGAATTCTAATGTAAGCGAATACCCTTAAAAATAATTCCTGCACAGTTTTACCACTTCCCAGAGACTTATGATATATGTAATTGTTTGTTTCCTATAACCGTTTGCTTTACATATCGAAGCCCTGCGAACTTTGGACACTCGTTTACACACAAAGGACCTGCGAGTCCTAACTACCTGGCAACCTAACACGTGATGCCACACTGAATATCAAACGATAATATAAACGAAAATTGCAACAAACAACAAAAAACAAACCAACAACCTCACAATATTAGCATACGTAAACTGATAGCGATACACCATCACAAAAGCAAATAAGTCAACAAATTCGTAAACCTGCACTCAGAGGGAAAAAAAAACACAAAACACAAGATTACTTGATAATATCTGTCAATATGGTTAAAAGTTGTACGTTACGGGACTTGCATGTCCCTCTTTTTCTAATATGTTTCCAGACCTACGCGTCTGCATCTTTAGAACTTAATGTTAAGTTATTTATTACATCGGATACGTGCGAGACCTGCGAGCCTCACCCTTTTTCCACGATATATAAATCTATATTAAACAAATAAAAATATATTTACAAAAAAAAATAATAATAATAATTCCTGTGCTGCTATAGATGTACAACAGAACACCCACTGCCTACTGCTCTGTTTTGGACTTTACACAACACAAAATAACCTCTGATCTGCTATACATGTGCAACAGTCACAACTTTGCTTCATATACAGATAGAGTACTTAATAGCCCCTGCAATGCTATAGATGTGCAGTGCACAAAACATTTATACTTCACTACAAACATGCAGAGCTCGAAATAAAACAAGCACTGCACTAAGTGTGCAAAACACACAAAAATAATGCTTCATCGCAAATGTGCAAAGATAATAAACTCCATCAGCGCTAAAGTATTCTCAAGAGAAGATAAGTACTATTTACCACTCATCCATGACTAATCACACCTACCCCACCAAAGACGAGAAAAAATAATTCCCCCTTGAAATAGCTGACTGTAAATACAGACTCATGATTCAACTAGTATACCTATTTGCTAACACGCACCACTTTTTCCCCTAATGAGGGATTTGCAGTACAAAAGAACACTTTTATCCTAAGGCGCATCTGGAACATCGAGACAGCTGTGTTACAAAGAGAGAGTGTGTATGCTTGCCAAGGTCCGGATTAGGATTGTCCTAAGCCCCAGGCTAATTTTCTCTATCCGCCCCAAAATGCTGTTAGATAATATATATCTGTATGAAATTCTTTAAGATTCTATAGAGTTGATTGATGTTGCGAGCGTGATTCAGGAGGATGGTAGTAAGCCAGTCTTTTAACACTTATTTAACAGGAAGCAGTTACCTAATTTGCTTCAAAATTATGAGAAATGAGCTATGACAGTCATAATGTTTCCAGCTACAGATGTAATCAAAATCATTTATACCCTATTGAAAATCAGATTTATTGCCAAAATTTACAGACTTTCCGCTGTTTGCAGTGAACAAATTAATCAAATGCAATTGATATAGCTCAACACAACAAATGCTTCAAGTGGTTTCCCCAAAGTCAACTGAAAATGCACCTTATAATGACATTTCCAGTTTCAAATTATTCAAACCCTTCATGGCAAGTATATTTAGTACTTAGTAAAGCACACTTATGCTGTTATGACCTGCTGCAAACGAGATGCATAGCCAGACACGAGCTTCTGGCAGCATTCCTGAGGAATCTTAGCCCATTACTTCAATGAATTCATCTTGCCTTCCACAGTTTTCAATGCCAAGGCAGCCCCAAACCATCATCAAACCACTACCACGCTTAACTTTAGGAAGAGTGTTCTTTTTAAGCATATGCTTCGTTCTTCTTCCTTCAGACACTGATCTTTCAGCTTTAAACTTGCAAACTATTCTTCCAACAGTGTCTCTAGGAACATTCAGTGCATTTGCTATCTTTTTGTATCATGTTACTTGTTCGTGAAGGGCGGTGATTTCTAACTTTGTGGACCATTCTTTTGACTTCTAACATGCAGTCAAACACGACACTCAACAAACCCCTTGCCAGGTCAGATATTTCAAGCATTTCAGGTCAAGTACACTTGGTGCAACTAATAAAGCCCTTGATTAGTTGCATCAGGTGTGCTTGAGACAACACCTGTATTGCATAGTTGTGCTGTTGTGATGGATTTTATTCAGGGGGTTGAATCATTTTGAGACTTGGGAAGTCATTATACATTGCATTTTCAGTTGAATTTGGGGAAACAACTTGAAGCATCCATTGTGTTGAGCTATTTCAATTGTTCAGTTTGATTTGTTCATTGCAAACAACTGAAAGTCTGTAACTTTTGACAATAAATCTGATTTTTATTGGGGTTCAATAATTCTGATTACAACTGTATATCCTACATTTCTGCAGGCAACCTTAGCAAAAACACATTGCTTGCCATGCCAGGATGAACAATCCAATCATTCTGGTCTATAGGGACTGATCTTATCCAATACCACAGTTCAGACCATCACATAGAATGATTGGAGCTGTATTATAGACTGAGAGCTGGCATGATACAGCTGCTGTTTCGGGAATCAGGCTGCGCTTTGATATAGGTCATGTGCCATGCACACAATGTACACACAGTAGGCAAATGTCGTTTTACAGAAATACAGAAACCAGGAACA